TGCCGTGGCGCGCCGGCCCTCCTCTTTCCGCCCCCCCATGTTCCGGCGCGACCGAGCCATGAGTGGCGGTGCCGTGCGACGCGGCGGGCAACGCAGAGGCGGAGTGAGAGCCGCGCGGCGCGCAGACGTTGGCCCAGCCTCGCCCGATATCGCTCTCGCGGAGGGCGCGGGCGTCGTTCTCCTGTTGCATCGCGAGGCAGCCGCCGAGGCCTGCCCTGACTTGAGGTACTTGAGGTCTTCGCGGCAGGCTTTTCCGAAGTCGCTGCTGCGGCGCCCGTCGCAGCAGCGACTTCGGAAAAATTTGCCGCGCCTAGTGGGGGGTGTCGCTCTGTGCGATATCGCCGTGAGGCGTGATGGCCCTCGTCTACGCATTGGCGGCGCATAGCGGTTCCGCCAAGGCTGGCGGGCCCGCGGCTTCTGCTGCGCGTCCTTGCAGGAGGCGCAGAACTATTCCGCGGCGCTGGGCGGCAGGTCGGGGCCCGGGGGCAAGGCGCGGCAGCGCCGCTCCGCGCGCTTAGGCATTGCGTTCCGTGGCCAGGTCGGCGTCGCGTTGGCCGCCTGCATTGCTGGCAGCCCAGGTGGCGGCGTGGTTGCTGAGGGCGCTCTGTGGCAGATTGCCGTCGACAGTGGGCCCCTTCGGCATGGCCGTGCTGGATTTCATTTTGCTGCCGTGGCGCGTGGCCGAGCGGCCCGTCCACGGCGCTGGAGTGCGCGAGGGCGGCGGTCTAATTCTTTCAATTGCTGTGAGATCACACGATCACCAGACGGCGTTAACGATGCAATTTTATGATCACATTCATTTGTTTTCTATGAATGAAGCTGCGTCCCTCGTCGCGCGTTTCAAGTGCCGCTTGTTTTGAGCCCCCCCCCAGCGGGTGCGCGCGGTCTCCCAAGGAGGTGGGCGAGGACCAAGAATCGAACTTGCTTGAGCAACGCCTGGGCATCGCTTCCAGACGGGATTGCAGGGGCGCGCGATGCGAAGGGCCCCGTGCATGCTGAAGGGCCCGAATGAAACTCCGATTCTGACCGCGAAGGGCACCAACAATAACCGACGCCAAAAAGAAGGACCGACGACAAAACAGAGGGCCGACGACAAAAAACGATAGCACAAAAATGAGGCCGACGACAAGTCCCAACGCCTGAGGAAACTGCCAACGACAAAGAAAGGGTTGGCGATGACCAAATCCGCTGGCGGCGCAGAGGCGCGACAAACTCCGTAGCTGCGACGCCAAAATGCTTTTGGAAGGCGTGCGACAAGAATTGTGGAAGTGCCGTTCGTATTGTAAAAGCACAAGGAATGCGGACCACGGGGCAAATTCATCATGCGGTATCTCGTCGCGCGTTCCATGCGCCCCAAGGGCTCGCGCCCGCGCTGGGATTCCCCCGCGTGCATATGCCTTCGCGCGCGCGCATTGCGCGCGGCGGGATTGGCGCGCGCTGGAGATGCGTGCGCACGCGCCGGTACCATCGCGCGCGCCTCCGTTGCGGGCGAAGCGCGAGGCGCGCGCGCGCATCATCCCCCCTCGCGCGCGTGCCAGCGGCGCGAGACGAGCCGGGCGCGCGCCGCTGGCACGCGCGGCGCGCGGGGGGGAGCGACGCGCGCGAGCAACAAAGTAGTGACTCACCAAGAGCAGCGCGTAGTCTGTCCGCGTTGCACACGGCGCGAGACCAGCGTCAACGCGAGAGCTTTGATTCGGGGCGGGCGGTGGTGTCAGAGTTGAGTTCGCACATCGTTCAACGCATGTTGGCACGTTTCAGTTGCAAACTTTGGAAAGAAACTCGATGTTTTTTGTCGAACGATTTGTTGGTGGATCTTGTCTTGTACGTAAGGAGGAGGTAAGTGATTGTGCGGGTGAACGAATGCCCATCGCATTCACGATAGTGGTGTGGCAGTTTTACTGGTCCCAGCCCAGGGCCTCATTATGAAAGCCACCTGTGTTCCATCCATGTGGCTGTTTCGAAATTCAACTGTCATCATCATCGTCGTCGTCGATGATGTATAATTGTCCGGCGAAGCTCCGGCCGACCCCACCGACGCGTTTGGAGGTGCGGCAAATAGGGGTGTAATATGCGTATGTACGTATGTGTGCATGTGTGTATGTGTGCATGTTTGTTTGCTTGTTTGTTTGTGTGCTTGTTTGTTGGTTTGCATGCTTGTATGCATATGTACGCACATACAAACATACATGTATACACAATAGGTTAAGGCTCGCTGCGCTTCGCCTTATACTCATGATTTTCGCACTTGCATGCTTTATGGACTTTGCGGTCCGCATGTTGATGTAACCGCAATGTTGCTACGACCCATCCCCGAACCTGATGTCGGGGAGACTAACCAAGTGCAGCCCCGATTGGCAACGGACCCGGCGCATTTCGGTCCAAACCGAACACTCGTTTGGGCAGTCGCCCAGCACGAAGGGAAAACAGCAGCGGTCGTCAGTTGTCTCGCGCTGGAGGTGGCGCTCGCAAAAAGGCGGATGTATCCGAGACTCGGACTAGAGTGCCATTCTCATTCACGAGTGCGGCCGACGCTGGGGCGGTAACACAAATCTTGGACATGGATGTGGTTGGCGCCTGGGCGGAGCACCTTTCTCCCATGAGGGCCGTGGGGACCGTGCGAGTGGACCGGCATCACAATAGTCAATCAGGGACGTGGCCCCCGCTGCAGAAAGAGTACCACACTGCCCCACAGGAAGGCAGGGTTCACGTAGCGTCCCCCCGCCAATGTCGGCACGGCCTTCACGCGGATCGTGCCCCCCTGGTAGCCCAACTTACGGGTCCACGGACAAAGTTCGCACGGTCCTCAAAGGAAACTGCGCATCGAATTCTGGTTCCCGCAGGCGCTGCGGGAAAGCACGCAGCGGATGCCGAGGGAAAATACGAGAAAAAAAGGAGGGTGATGGGGGAGGGACCCCAAACGAATTTCGGACTCCCCGTGCTGCCGGGAAACCTCCCCCATAATTGGACACTCTCGATCTGGAGTGTTGCAGGAGAGCCACACGGCAGCGCAAGACAGCTTCAAGACGGCCCAAGAGGCCCCCAAGACGGCAAAGACGCCCCAGGATGCCTGCAGGCGAGCTCCCAAGAGGCAACAATCGTCCCATGCCCTCGGGAAGACGTACATGTTTAGCATGTTCGCTTTTGGTATCGTAGCAGCGTCGACCCAAGAGGCCCCAAAGGCGCCCCAAGAGGCCTTCAGGAGAGCTCCCAAGAGACAATAATCGTTCCATGCCCTCGGGAAGACGTACATGTTTAGCATGTTCGCTTTTTGTATTGTAGCAGCGTCGAAGACGGCCCAAGAAGCCTGCGAGATCGCCCCAAGGCGGCCCAAGCGGCCCCCAAGAGGGCTCCAAGCCAGGCCAAGAGGACCCCAAGGCAGCCCCAAGACGGTCCGAAAGAAGCTCTCAATGCCCCCAAAGGCTCCCAAGAGAGACCCACGAGGGCCATGGGAGGTCCCCAAGAGGGCCCGAGGTCCTCAAGAAGGCCCAGGACGGCCCAAGAGGGACCCAAGACGGCCCACACGGGCTTCGCAAGGACCCCCAAGACGGTTCAAAGAGGCGCACAGGAGGCCTCCAGAGGTCCCCTTGAGGGGCATTCTTCAGGCCCCCAAGAGGTTCTCCAATGAGGAGCCTCCGCAAGAAGACCTGCGGCAGACGGGAAATGGTTCGCACTGCCAGGCGAGAGCGTGGTTTTAGGAGAAGTGCGACGAGGAACGATGAGGCGTTTCTTTCCATAGCCTTGCATTGCGCGACCGGGCGACTTGGGCCACGAGCGAGTCCGTGGTGGCCACGCGAAAGACCCCGAATGTGATTCATTTGCGCGACCATGCGTCTTCCAGAAGGCGTCTCCTCCAAAATTCACCAAATTGACCAGAGACCCAGATTCGCAGCACATTTCTCTTGAAATCTGTGGCGAACCCGTGATTCGGTGTATTCCCGAAGAGGAGGAGGAGGAAGAGGAAGAGAAGGAGGAGGAGGACCAGGAGCAGGAGCAGGAGGATAATGAGGAGGAGGAGGAGGAGGAAGAAAAAGACCACGGTGCATGGCGCGAAGCGCCAATGCAGTCTTCTGTATATATAATTTTGCATATGCACATGCATGCATGAGGAAAAGCGGATCGAGGACGAGAAGGAAAAGGTGGAGGTGGAGCAGGAGGAAGAAGGAAATGGAGGACGACGATGACGACCACCGACCTGGGCTTCCTGGTCGGTGCCTGTTCCAGGCGAGTCTGGTCCTCCTCGTTCCTCCTCCTCCTCTTCCTCAGTGTTCCTCCTTCCCTCCTCCCTACTCCCTACTCCCTCGTTCCTCCTGTCCCCTCCATCATCCCTCCTTTTTTCCTCATGCATCCCACCCAGACCAGCCGAAACCATTCAGTAAAATGAATCTTCGGTTACCTGATCACACCCTCTATCCTGCCTCGTCCTCCGCTTCCTCCTCCGCTTCACCCCCTCCTTCTCCTCCTCCTCCTCCGTTCTCCTCCTCTTTTTCCCTCGTTTCTCCTGGTCCTCCTCCCCTGCCTCCCTTCCCCTTCCCCATCCCCCCTCTCCTTTCCTCCTGCTGCTCCTCCTCCTCCTCTTCCTCCTCCTCCTCCTCCTCCTCTTCCTCCTCCTCCTCCTCGTTCTCCTCCCCCTCCTCCTCTCCCTCCTCCTCCTTGTCTCCGCCTCGTCTTCGTCCTAGTCCTCCTAGTCCTCCTAGTCCTCCTAGTCCTCCTAGTCCTCCTCGTCCTCGTCCTCCTCCTCCTCCTCCTCATCCCCTCCTCCTCCTCCTCCTTCTCCTCCTCTTCTCCTCCTCCTCCTCCTTCTCCCCTCCTCGTTCCCCCTCTCTCTTTCTACATTTCCTCCCCTCCTGTTTCCATCACCTCGGCCTTCCCCTCCCGTCCTATGCCTCTTCCTCCTCCGCCTCCACGTCCTCCCCCCGACCCGTCCCTCCTCCTCCTCCTCCTCCTCCTCCTCCTCCTCCTCCATCTGTCCTCTCCCGCAAGAGTCGGCCGGGGTGGGCGAGGCTGGTCGGAAGGTCGTGGCCTTCGACGTGAACGAGGCGCGTGCGGGCTGTGGCTTTCGAGTCGGGTCGGCCCTTGGTCCTCGGTGGTTTCCAAAAGAGGGGAGGAGGAGGTGGTGGAGGAAGAGGGAGGGAGGAGGGCAGAGGCAGCGTGCAGGAGGGAGAAGGGAGGAGGGAGGAGGGAGGAGGAAGGAGATGGAGGAGGGAGGAGATGGAGGAGGGAGGAGATGGAGGAGGAGGAGGAGGAGGAGGAGGAGAGGAGGAGGAGGAGGAGGAGGAGGAGGAGGAGGAGGAGGAGGAGGAGGACGGAGGAGGAGGAGGAGGAGGAGGAGAGGAGGAGGAGGGAGGAGGAGGAGGAGAGGAGGAGGAAGGAGGAGGAGGAGGAGGAGGAGGAATAATAATAATAACACGAATAATAATAATAAAATAATAATAATAATACTAATAATAATAAGAATAATGATAATAATAATACTCATAATACTTATACTAATAATAGTAATAATATTCATAATACGAATAAGAATAATAATATTAATAATACTAATACGAATAAGAAGATGAATACGACGAATAATACTACTATTAATAAGAAGAAGAGTTTTAATACGAGGCCGACGAACAATAATAATAATAATAATAATAATAGAAGAATAGTAATAATACTAATAATAAGAAGAATCATAAAAATAATAAAAAGTATAATAATACTAATAATAATAAGAGGAGGAGGAGGAGGAGGAGGAGGAGGAGGAGGAGGAGGAGGAGGAGGAGGAGGAGGAGGAGGAGCAGCAGGAGCAGGAGGAGGAGGAGGGCCAGTGTAAACCCAAGAGTCATCGACGATGTCGTCATGAACCCTCCCTCCAAACTCCCTCTTCATATGCCCCTACAAGGGTTCGTTTTCACTGAGGGATCTGCGTCTTTAGAAGACAACCTTTTGAAGACCCTGAAGCATAACAAGGCATTGTTCTCGGGACTTCAACGCCACGGATCAACCTGATTGTTGCGTCTTGACGATCCGGAATCGTGCCAGAACGCCATCCTTGGGACTTCAACGCCGCGAATCAACATATTTGTTGCGCCCTCATAATCCTGAATCTTTTCGAAACGCAAATTCTGGTACGTTGACCATGGCCATCCGTGAACATCTTGCAGGCTTTTTCCAATAAGGAACTTGCACGGCGCTAAGGCGAGAGCCATCCACATTTTGAAAATGAAGCTCCTGCAGTTTTTTTTACGAATGTGCGCGGCGCTAAGGTGAGAGCCACATTTTGAAAACTACCCGCCCTCAATTCGTGAAACTGTTGCAATTTGTTTAAACGAATTTGCGCGGCGCTAAGCTGAGAACCACATTATGAAAACTACCCGCCCTCAATCCGTGAAGCTCTTGCAATTTTAAAAAATGAATATACGAGGAGCCAAGGCGAGAACCACACTTTGAAAGCCACCCGCCCTCAATCCGTGAAGTTTTTGTAAAACATTGAAAATGAATGTAAGTGGCGCTAAGGCGAGAGCTACATTATGAAAACGACCCGCCCTCCCATTGTGAAATGGTTGTCGATGTTTCAGTTTCAGGGCCAAACTGGTGAGGAAGTCTCAGGCGAAAGTCTGGCCCACCCTTTCGACCGGCCTCGGCGTGCGACAGGGAGAAGTTATTCATGATACCGGAGAAAACCCCAATTAGATTTTTGTTAGGGCTATAGGGCTATGGGGCTATTGGGCTATAAGGATTTACGGCTATCGGGCTGTAGGGCTATCGGGCTATAGGGCTATAGGACTGTGACCTATAGGGCCATAGGGCTATAGGGCTATGGGGCTACAGAGCTACATGGGCTATGGGGCTATAGGGCTATAGGGATATAAGGCTATTAGGGCTATAGAGATATAAGGCTATAGGGCTACAGGGCTATAGGGCTATACGGCTATAGGGCTATAGGGCTATAGGGCTACTGGGCTATTGGGCTATTGGGCACCCCCGGACACCCGGGCACCCTCGGGCACCCGGGCACCCCCGGGCACCCGGGCACCCCCGGGCACCCAGGCACCCCCGGGCACCCGGGCACCCGGGCACCCTGGCCCGGCCACCGAAATCGGCCACCCGGGCACCCCCGGGCACCCGGGCACCCGGCCCCGGCCACCGAAATCGGCCGCTCACCTCACCTCAGCTTTATATCCGGTAGGACCCCTACAGAAGCAAGCTCTGATTGGGGAATAAGGAACAGGAATGATGGAGGAGGAGGAGGAGGAGAAGGAGTCTGTCTGCCTGTGTTCGCCAGTCGAGTACCACTTGCCACAACTCACAACCTGCATGCTCTGGGCCGCGGCCCTCGTCGCCAGCTATCATCCTCACTGGGGCGTTCACACTTCCGAGGAGCTTGGACAACTGAGAAGCAGTTGCGGGGGGGGGCGGCCTCGGGAGCGTCGGAACACCAGCCAGCGCTTCGCTGGCTCGCCCCCGGCGGGGCGGGCCTGCAGACTGGGGGGGAGGACAGTGCTGGACAGCCCTTGGGCGGCGGGGGCTCAGAGGCCACTCCCACGCCCAGCACAGAAACCTTTCCCGCTGTCTCGGCAAGAGTTCATTTAGTCTTAACCCGACGCACCAGCTTCCCGGTTTCCAGCGCCAGCGCCCCGAGCCTGTCCCAGCCTCCCGCCCCGCGGAGCGGAGCGGCACGCTATCTGCGTGCAGGGCACAGAGTGTCATCGGGGCCGCCGCGGCGACACGCTAAGCAAGAGCTACCGGCCGTAGACAGTGCGCCGCCAGGGCGGATGCGCTCCGCCTCTTCATCCTCCCATGGACGCTGTCACTCTCCCCCCCCCTTCCCTCTTCCCCCTTCTCAAGTTTTCGGCCTCGCAACTTCAAATCTGATCAAGAGTCACTCCGTGTTACATCGCACGCGTTCGGAAAATGAACCCAGCTTTGAACGGGCGTGGACTCGGCTTTGTCAGCCCCTTCCCTGCCGCCTCCTTTTTCCATCAAGGCCCCTGCCCCCAGACCTTTCCTGCCCTGCGTTCTGGCCACGAGTTCAGGCGAATCCTCCCTGGCGACGAGGAGCCCCCGGAGGTTCAGAAACGGCGCTAGACGACAAAAGACCTCGATCTTCGAGCCTCGGCCATCCCCCCGCACTCGGCCAGGCTCCCCTGAAGGTCGGTCCCCAGGCCTCTCCCAGAGAGTCCATCCTGGCCCGTCTCTCGAGGCGGATGCAGCTGTGGGGACGAGAAGCCCCGTGGTCTCGATTGGACCTCCCCCGACGCCAATGCCGCTGACGCTGGCAACGCCAACGACGACGGCGACGACGACGACGACGACGACGACGGCGACGACGACGACGACGACGCCTCTGCCGAAGGCCGCCGAGGGCCGCCGCGGGGCCGCCGAGAGGCCGCCGAGAGAGCCGCCGACGGCGGCCGCCGCCCCGCCCGGAGGCCGCCGTGGGGGCCCTGGTGGACCGGGGCGCCGCCCGGGCGGAGTCGCCCGCCGCGGTGGCCGCCGCGGCTGGGACGGTGGGGGGGGAGCCTGGCCCGCCCTCGGCAGCACGCGAGAGCGGCCCCGCCAATGCAGGGGTCCGTTGGCAGTGTCAGAGGTGCCACGAGATCGCCACATCTGTCTCTCTGGTTCCTGCGTGTTCACGTCAGTGTGCCTGATCCCCGGGCCCCGCCCGCTCCTGGCCGCGTGAGGCCCCGCCTGCCCTCGCCCCCCTCTCTGTCAATCAAAGCCGCGTGCGTCCCGCGGAGCTTTTAGCGGAAGAGGCTCGCTCTCGCCCTGCAGATCAAAAGTTCACGTCAGTGTTCTGGGGCCCAGGGAGGCCCGACTAGCTGCCCTACCATTGCGGGGGTGGTGGTTCAGGAGTTGCCGGGGCCGGTGTGGGTTGGATCGGCCTTGTTGACCCTGCCCGCAGGTTGTGGGCTTGGGACCTTCATAATCCATGTTTCTGTGTGCGCTGAGGGTTGACGGTCACTACCCAATCCCCGTCATCTGGTCAAGGAGGGCCCCCTGAGCGCAGCCGCACGGGTCGGGAGAACCTCCGTCAGATTGCTGTCGTGGAGCACCCGTCATACCAGACCCCGCGGCGCCTCTGCACTGTGCACGGTGGGTTGACCGTGTGGGCCTTGCTAAAGCAACCCCCCCCAATCCCTCAGGGTGGTGGAGGCGTTGACGCGTGAGGACGCTGCAGGCCGCCCCAGGCTCAGGGAGAGGGGGTCGAGTCAGGCTCCGATTGAGCCTGCTGGACGGGACAGGGTCCCGCTTGGTCACTCCTTGGTCACTCCTGTTTGTCTGCCTCCCTCGCATCCGCGTCGGCGCCTCTGCCCACGGCCCGCGAGGAGGCCATTGCGATCGACTATGAGGCGGCGGATCGCCAGCGCTGGCCTGCGCGGTTGGATCTGACCTCCCCGCGGCCCCCGAGAGCCGCGCATCGAGGGCCACTCTGTGCCCAGCGCCGCTCTGGCGTGCAGGCGACCGCCTCGCCGCGGCGCCGCCGCGGTCGTTGGCTGTGCCGCGGCGCGCCGCCGCTGTCGCCACCGCCGCCACCGTCGTGGTCGAGTACCCGGTCCTAAATATCTGGCGGTCTGGTTTTGGAACTGGCGTTTTTTCCTCCATTTCGGCCGTCGGGGGGGGCACTATCGGTCCCCAGGACCAACAAAAAACGAATGCGGGACGAAAGGCTAGCCCCAGGGCAGCGGTCGTGTCTTTGAGGCCGCGGGTTGAAAACAGTGCGTTTGCGGATTTCGGGGTACCCAGTTCTAGAGAATAGTGATTACTGTGCTGATGTGTGGCAACGGTTTCGGTTGTTCTCGCCTTGACGCCCGATGCATTTTCTATGAGACCGAGGCTCACGCTCGAGCGCGGGCTGACTTAACCACGGCCCTTGAAGGCCCAACTACGACGACAACGGCTCCCCCTCGATTCTTCATCACACCTTACCCCGAGAAGCCCTGACCAGAAAAGGTCCCCAAACTTGGGAACCGGGCTCTCGTTCAAAACTTCTTCTCGACTCGTTCAAATTTGGGAAGATCCAGACAAGAACGACGACAACGGATCCCGCCCGATACGTTCCCTTAGTGTATTCGCGTGTGCTCTGATCATATGCATTCTCACGCGCAGGAGCGCTGCCCTCGCTCAATACATCCTCGCAGTTCTTTTCAGTTGACGACAGCCAGCGTCGGCGACATTGAGGCCCCAAAACTCAAGAACGGTGTTCTCTCTTGAGACCGTCCCGCAATTCACTCAAGTTGGTGAGTTACCTACTGGCGATCTTGGGCGTCTTTGGGTGCCTCGGGGGGCCTCTCAGGGCCGCCTGGGGTCCTCCTTGGGGGCCTCCTGCGGGCCTCTTGGGGCCATCTTGGAGCCATATTGGGGCCATCTTGGGGCCTCTTGGGGCCTCCCGGGCGCCTCTTGGGGCCATCTTGGAGGAGATCGATCAAAGAAAGAAGGGGCCGCAATTCGCGTTGCCCCTCGGGAGCCCCCCAAAAGGCCAACATGGGGCCAACACCACAGTCAAACCAATGATTTTGGCTTCCTCGCCGAGGCCGTTTTGGACGCTTCAACGACCCGCGAAACGCCCCGTCCAGGTCCAGGGGAGGGGGTAAGGGAGGGAGGGGTGGAAGAGGAAACGCCCTAAACCACCTACGCCCAGAGGGCTGGTGGGGTTAGGCTCCCCCTCCCAGGAAACAACAAGTTATTCAACACCTCAGTAATCTCAATCGTTTTTGCCTTCTCGCCGAGGCCATCTTGGACGCTCCAACGACCCGCGCCCCCCCCCCCTGTCCAGGTCCAGGGGGAATGGGGGGGGAAGAGTGAAAAGGAAAACCGCTCAACCAATCACGCCCAGAGGGCTGCTGGGATTGATAAGGAGAAGGGGAGGAGGAGGAGGAGGAGGAGGAGGAGGAGGAGGAGGAGGAGGAGGAGGAGGAGGGAGGAGGAGGGAGGAGGAGGAGGAGGAGGAGGAGGAGGAGGAAGAGGAGGAGGAGGAGCAGCAGCAGCAGCAGCGGCAGCAGCAGCAGCAGCAGCAGTAGCAGCAGCAGAGGGAGGTGGTCACGATGCTCCCCTCGAACCCGCACGTGCTGGCGGTCTACCTTGGCGAAAGGGGGCTGCTTGCAGGCACTGGGTGCAGCCTCTCGCTCGTCGTCCTAGTCGTCCTCGTCGTCGCTCTCGTCGTCGTCTTCGTCGTCGTCGTCGTCGTCGTCGTCGTGGTCGTCGTGGTCGTCGTGGTCGTCGTGCTCGTCCTCGTCCTCGTCCTCGTCCTCGTCGTCCTCGTCCTCGTCCTCGTCGTCGTCGTCGTCGTCGTCGTCGTCGTCGTCGTCGTAGTCGTCGTCCTCGTCGTGGTCGTGGTCGTGGTCGTGGTCGTGGTCGTGGTCGTGGTCTTGGACGTCGTAGACGTCATCGTCGTGGTCGTCGTCCTCGTCCTCGGCCTCGTCGTCCTCGTCGTCGTGGTCCTCGTCGTCCGCGTCGTCCTCGTTATTCCCTTCGTTGTCGTCGTCGTCGTCGTCGTCGTCGTCGTCGTCGTCGTCGTCGTCGTCGTCGTCGTGGTCGTCGTCGTCGTCGTCGTCATCGTTGGTGTCGTCGTCGTCACCACCGTCATCGCCTCGTCATCCTATTGCTCGTGTTCTGCTCCCTAAGATTGTTCTTCGCTCGAGTTCCCCTCCTCCCCAGTGGCTGCCTGGCTCAAGCCCCGCAGCGGCGTGCTGCGCCGCCCAGGTGCCCTCGCCGCGAGAGGTGCCGATGCCATGGATGTCCTCGCGGCCGCCATGGCGGCGCGACGCCGAGGCGGCGGCCCCGCGGGGCCCCCCTCGCGGCGCACACGCTGCGGCGGGGCCCGCGGGAGTGGCGCGTGCTGCGTACCGCCGAGGGGCTGCCTGCGAGCGGCGGTCGCGGTCTCTCTCGCGCCCCTCTCGCGCCCCGGCGCTGGTCCCCCTCTCGCGCCCCTCTCGCGCCCCGGCGCTGGCCCCCCTCTCGCGCCCCGGCGCTGGCCCCCCTCGCGCCCCTCGCGCGCCTGGCCTTCGGCGGCGGCGGCGGGGACGCAGGGGACAGGGCGGCGCTGCTGCGGGCCGCGGCGCGCAGGGCGCGGTGGCCGGCGGAGACCTGGCCGACGGCGGCGAGGGGGCGGTCGGCGGGGGTGCCAGTCGTGAGCCGCGGTGGCGGCGACAGCCCCATCGCCCTTGGGCGACAGAAGCCCGACGACCAAATTTGCAGGGTTCGTCGTCACGGCAAGGGCGTGCACATTCACTGTAGGCATGTCGGCCCAGAGCGTTGAAGCGACGAGTCCAGACCGGAGTTAGCCGAAGTCTTCGGGGGCCATTTCAGCGGCACCGCTTCGGGTATTCACTAAACGGTGTTTTGGAGATGTGCCGAAAGTTGCCGCTTTAGGGCCTCTTTCTGGCATTGCAGCGTTGCCCACGTCGGGGTTCTCCGGGCCACTGGCCAAAGTACCCGTTAGTGGAGTCCCCGTTAGAGGGGCGCTGACCATTGCCACGTTGAAGGTATCATCGTCTCATTTCATCGGGCGGTCGGCGAGGGTGCCAGCCGTGAGCCGTGGTGGCGGCGGCGCCGCGCGCAGCCAGCACCTGCAGCCGCCCCTCCCGGTGCGGACGCGGCTCGTCAAGTGCTAATATTCTGGGGGAGGCTTGCCAATCCTTGGTGGAGAAGCCGTCAGACATGATGTGAGCGCGCCGCCGAATGTAGTTACATTTCCGATGCGTCTTTGGCTTTGGTAGTCTTGTTGATGTGCCACCCCACTTGCGTGCCATAACCTGCAGCGCGCCGATTCCGTGACACTGAGAAGGGGGCAGGATCTGTCCGCCCCTGCGTCGCCCTTCGCGTTGCTGATGCAATTCCAGGGTAACGGTCCGGACGGGCCGAACGCCTTCCTGGCCAGATTCCCAGAGAGACCCCCGCGAGGCTAGCACAGCCTGGCGCAGCATGGCCTTGCTGATGCACGAAGTAAGTGTATTCCGGAGCGAGGGTTTCCGTAACCAGTTGGCTCAAGATGCGAAGTTTGGAGGACAAGTTCCTCCGCCGCCTGGCGTGGCGAAGCAGGTCGGAGCCTCAGCGGCAAGGCAGGCGTCTCCTCCGCCTCGAACCTCGTCTGTGGACCCTCTCTTGCGCCTCCGCTCCCGCTTACCCCACAACCCAACTACTGGACATTAGTTCCCTTTCTGACCATCATTGGCAAAACATATCTTGGGCTCCTGGATGAGGGGACCCACGTGTCGAAGGTGGTTGCGTTAATCTTGAAAACGCCCTGGGCGTTTTTTGCGTTTCATACGTTGTGTTGTCGAGGGGATGAAAAGGGACATATTTTCCGTTTTTTGTTAGCGTTTCTAGCGTTTCAGACTTGTGTTTTAGCGTTTTCGGGGCGGGGGCTGAAACTGAATTCCGTGCGCAGAGCTGGCAACGGTTAAACATGTTAGCCAGCGTGGACCCGGAATCGTGGATTCTGGCAGTGTACGCGTTGCAATTTTGTTGGTGCAGTCAATGTAGTGCACAGGAAATACATAAAGTGCAATCTACGTGGTGCAATCTACTTGTGGCAATTAATATGGTGCAATTCAGGCTGGCGCAACCAACTACACGTGGGGCAATCCAGGCATTGCAACGCAATCCAATGCAGTGCGGTGCAAAGCACTGCAGAGCAATGCAGAGCAATGCAAAGCAATGCCAAGCAATTCGACGCCTTGCAAAGCAGTGCAACGCAACACACAGAAAACAGTGCGGAGCAGTGCAAAACGGGCGGGCGGCGAGGCGGCGGGCGGCGACGAGGCGGCGACGGCGGCCTCGAGCCGGCCGGCCAGCGCGGCGCACGGCTGGGTCGCCCTTCCAAGCACCGGAGGCGCGCGCGCACACGGGGGCTGGGCGGGAGGGGTGGCCTTCGAGGCCGGGGGGGGATCCCAGAAAGCACGGGCCTTTTTGTCGACTGCACGTAAGAGTGACCCTTCGCCGGAGAGACCTTTGGTGCGGGCTCACCGGGGTCCCTCCGATCGCTTAGCGCGCTGCGACAGCAGCTGACTGCGCGCTTGGATTTGGCCACCTTGCGCCCCCCCTAGCCCGCGCACCAAGGGTCACTTTTGCCCAGGGTCCCGCTTGCGTGTAGCGGGTCTTGGAAAACCTCCCAGCCTCTACGGACGCCTTCTGAATCTCAGCAGCCCCGGGGCAATTCCAAGGATGCCCCCTGCCTTGTGAGCAGCCCCCCGCCGGGGGGAAGAGGAGGAGGAGGAGGAGGAGGAGGAGGAGGAGGAGGAGGAGGAGGAGGAGGAGGAGGAGGACGAGGAGGAGGAGGAGAGGAGGAGGAGGAGGAGGAGGAGGAGGAGGGGAGGGAGGGAGGGAGGGAGGGAGGGAGGGAGGAGGAGGAGAGGAGGAGGAGGAGAGGAGGAGGAGGAGGAGGAGGAGGAGGATGGAGGCGGAGTAATAGGAAGGAGGAGAAGACTTCAAGAGCGAGGTCGACACCACTTTGTACGCGCCGCCAAGAGCACCCTTGCCGCTCGCCCCCTGCCCCTCCCCTGCCTCCAGGCGCGGCGCCGGGGGCCTTGCTGGTAGACTGCTCCACCTGCGAGCCCTCCGTCTCCAAGGAGGTGGCCGCGGCAGCGGCCGAGAAGGCTTCTTGGTTTTGAGTTTGTTGTTCTTCCTGGGGGGGGGTGCGCCAGTCTCTCGGCGCGGGAGGAGGAGGAGGAAGAGGAGGAGGAAGAGGAAGAGGAGGAGGAGGAAGAGGCGGAGGAGGAGAAGGAGGGAAGGAGGAGGAGGAGTACGTAGGACCAGAGACGAGTGAGCCAGGTCGAACAAGTCAGCGGGCCCCGCCTCTTCCCACCCTCCCCTATAACATGGGAATCGACCCGCCCCCTTTTTGTCACACATTGTGCAACGTCGGCGAGCGACAAGACGTCCGTGTTCAAAGGGAACAACGTCGACTCATATTGTGTTTTGACGGGTCGGGTTGTCGAGATAAGCACGTTTGACAGCAGGATCTGCGTGCCTGTCCGCAGCCATTCTGGCAAAAGAATTTCTCATGGTAGCGTGAGCGTTTCCCGCCGCGGCCAGCGGCGGCTGCATGCCGGAACAGCAGCAGGGCACGGATAGCGGTTTCGACCTCATCGAGGACGGGCCCAAGAAGAGCAACTCCGAGGAGCTGGTGGACAGCTGGCGCAGGTTTCTCGTCAAGCACGCTCGTCTGACGTTCAAGAGACCGTCTTTTGGGCACCTAGGCCAGTGGCTGAAGATCATCAAGTCGGGCCAGCGCAAGGAGATCAATGACAGAGCAGCGGGTCGCCGTGCTTGAGCGCCAGATCGTCGAGCTGAGAGATGCCAGCCTGATGCTCAGGGGATCCCTGGAAGAGCAGCGGGAGGCCGCCTTGGCTGCAGCGGCCAGGGCGGCAGCGGCACCACACCAGCAGCAGGTCGTGGACACTCGGCTCATGGGGAAGCCGAAGAATTTCAGTGGCAAGGAGGACGACTGGCACCAGTGGGCCCTCACGATGCGAGCGTACGCAGGGGCCATCAGTGAGCGCCTCCTCTTCCTGATGGACGAGGCCGAGGCGGCGGAGAACGCGGCGAATGCGGCTCTAGAGTCGGACCGCGACAAGGAGCTCAGCACCCAGCTCTACTACATCCTCACGATGCTGCTGGAGGGCAAGGCATCGGACATGGTCACGCTCGTCGGGCGAGGCCAAGGGCTCCTCTGGCGGTCGCTCACGGACGAGCATGATGGCAAGGCCGTGACGAGGACCACGGGGCTCTTCCAGCAGGTGCTGGGTTTCGGTTTCGAGTCAGATGATGTCCTGCACGAGCTCGGCCGGCTCGAGAAGATAGTCCAGCAGTACGAGAACGCAACGGGCAAGACCGTGGACGACGACCTCCGCACGGGGATCGTGATCAAGAGCATACGCCAGGACGACCTGGCGAGGCATGTGGTGATGAACTCGGACCGGCTCGACACGTACGACAAGATCAAGGACGATATCATCGGTATCTACAGGACGAAGAAGTACCTTGTCACCGGTCCGTCGCCCATGGACGTCAGCGCGGTCGATGCTCGAGTGCGCTGCGACATCTGCGGCAGGACAGGCCACACCCGCCGGGACTGCTGGTGCCAGGGCAACCCCGGCGGCAAGGGCCGCGGCAAGGGCAAGGACGGCGGCAACAAAGGCAAGGGCAAAGGCAAGGACGGAGGCAAGAACAACAAGGGCGGCAAGTCCGGAGGAGGGCGTGGTCACGGCGGCGGTGGCAAAGGCGGAGCTGGTGCTGGCAAGGGAGACTCCCACTTCAACGGCGAATGTGGCTACTGCGGGATCTGGGGCCGCAAGCGGTCGCAGTGCCGGAAGCTGCAGGCGGCTCGCGGCCAGGAGGGCCAGCTCCGGCAGATCGGCCAGCTGAGCGACCAGCAGCAGCAGCAGCAGCAGCAGCAGCAGCAGCAGCAGCAGCAGCATCAGTACCAGCAGCCACAGCCCCCGTACGCAGTGCCGCAGTATCAGCAGCAGTGGCCTCCACCTCCTCAGCAACACTCCCAAGGACGACAGGGTTCGGTCACCACGTCCCTTGCGTCCACTCAGCAGCTCGGCTCGCTGGTGCTCTGCTCGGTTGAGCGCGGCGAGATCGGCAGCTTTGGCGACAGGCTCGTGAGGATCGGCGTGGACTCGGGAGCTGGTGTGACGGTCTGGCCCAAGGACCTATGCAGCGACTACCCGACCAAGTCCACGCCGGAGTCGAGGTCGGGCCTCGAGTACGTACCAGCCGGCAAGGGCAGCAGGGGCATCGCGGATTTCGGTGAGAGGACGTACGACATGGTCAGCAGCGACGGCCAGAATCTGAGCATGAAGGTGCACGTCTGTGACGTCCGCAAGCCGTTGCTGAGCGTTGCGGAGATGAACGACATGGGCTTGGACGTGCACTCCACGCGGACAGCGAGAAGGGCGCCTACGCGATCCACCCGCAGACTGGCAGGGGGGTGGGCATCGAGCGCGTCAACAACGTGTTCGAGATCGAGGCGTCCGCGTCCCCTTGGTCGGGGGGCAGCGGGCAGGCTTGACCGTAAGACCCGACGGGTGCAGGAAGCAGCTGCGGTGGGGGCCCGTGACCTTGGCCCCCGTGCAGGACCTACGAGATTCTCCGCCTGCTGAAGCAGCAGGCGCGGCAGGAGGCGCGGCAGCATCTTCTTCGGCGGCACCGGCCCAGGCTGGACCCCCACTTCTGGCTGCGCCGGCGCCTGCACCTCCACACAATTCGGGCGATGCTGATGCCCAGATGCATGGCGATGCGGACGTAGGACGGCCGAAGTTGCGAGTCCTGGCGAGTCCGATGCTTCCTACTCCAGACGAGGTGGCCGAGCACAACACGTGCCACCTACCCCATCGAGCTTGGTGCAGACACTGTGTGGCTGGGCGCGGCAAGGCCGATCAGCATCGAGCCTCCGAGGTCGCGGGCCAGATCCCCACGCTGCACGCCGACTACGGTTTCCTAGGCGAGAAGAGCGAGGTCGAGAAGATTGAGAGCTCGACCATCCCTTTCATCGTTGTCAAGGACGGCCCGCCTCCGACGGGCGCGCGCTGGCTGGACGCCCACGCGGTGCAGAGCAAGGGTGTCCGACACGAGTACTCTACCAAGATCGTGGCCCAGGATATCGTCAACACTGGCCGCGGCAGGCTCATCTTCAAGTCCGACGGCGAGCCGGCTCTGGTGGCTGTCAAGAAGAGTGCGGTCTCCGAGGTCCGCCGGACTGGTGTAGAGATCAACGTCACCCCAGAGGAGAGCCCTGTGGGGGACTCTCAGAAGAACGGCTACATCGAGCGCGCGATCTGGGAGGTGCAGAGCCTCACGCGCGTCCTCATTCACAAGGCTATGGAGCTTCATGGCACGAAGTTTCACGCGGCTCATCCTCTGGTAGTTTGGGCCATTCGTTACTCGTCGCAGCTGCTGAATCGGTTCCAGCGATCCGGTGACGACGGCAGGACTGCTTTCGAGAGGCGGAAGGGGCGACCCTACCGCAGGCGGCTTCCAGAATTTGGGGAGCTGGTGATGTTCTTGACGGTCGCCGATGGCAAGCATTGGCGGAAGCTGGACGAGCGTTTCCACACAGGCATGTACGTGGGCCTCGTCGACCGTACGGACGAGGTGATCGCCCCCACGAAGGAAGGCTACTTCAAGGCGAACACCATCCGGAGGCTTCCGGAGGAGCAGCGGGGCGACAGGAGCTTCGCGGAGGCTTGCAGGGGGCTCCCTTGGCTGGGGCCCCGGAAGGCAGGTGACGACGACGCAGAGGGCATCGAGCCCTTCAGGGCTGCCGCCCCGGTGGTTCCAGCAGAGGAACTACCGTCCCCGCTGGCTGGGAGATCGCTGGCAGGGCCGAGACGCGTCTACATCCGCCGGGAGGTCGAGCTCAGGCCGGTGGCGGAGGGCGGCTTCGGGCGCACCGACAACTGCAGGGGCTGCAGGGCTGCCCGGGAGGGCAGGACCGCAGTGGCTCACTCTGAGGCCTGCAGGGCCCGAGTGGAGCAGGCGATGGCCGATCGCCAAGGACCGCTGGCTGTGCGCTTGGAGACTGCAAAGAAGCGCAGGATCGGACCAGACGGCGAGGCAGCACCCCCCACGCCGGCGCCAGGAGCATCGCCGGGCACTCCGGCAGCTTCCCCTGGCGCGGCAGCATCATCTTCTTCTTCTTCGGCGGTGGCGCCGGCGGCCCCAGCACCCATGGCTGTGAAAGGGGCGGCTCCCTCAGTGCCGGAAGGCGCAGGCAGGGGCGACGATCTACGGATGGACTTGGTGGACGAGGACGCAGCCATGGTTGGCGACGACGCTGGCGGTGGTGCCATGGCGGGGGACGACCTCAGCTCCATCGCGAAGTCCATCAACGCTGACCTGATCAAGCCCGGCGGCAACCCGATCGAGCTGAGCCAGGTCGAGTCTAACGATGCGACGGTCTCCGAGGTTTTCGGGCGCGGCAGATTCTTGGAGCGTGCCCGCGAGTTCGGACTCACCCCAGGGTTCGCTCTCGACCTCAGCACGGGATGGGACCTGAACATCGCCACGCACAAGGACGAGGCGGCACGACTCCAAGCCAGTGACCGGCCTCTGCTCCTTATCGGCTCTCCACGCTGCGCAGCGTGGACCACGCTCTTGAATTTCGGACAGGTTAAGCAGGACACGCTCGACGGCCTCATGGCCGAGGCCATCGACCACATGGACACCTGTGTGAGGATGTGCTACGAGCAGCTGGACAACGGGCGCTACTTCCTGCACGAGGCGCCGCACTCGGCGAGGTCCTGGCACGTGAAGGGCATTCAGGACCTCCTCCGCAAGAACGGCGTCTTCCACATCGTCAACGACCAGTGCGAGGCAGGGCAGGCCGCCCCTGTCAAGCAGGCCGACGGGACCACGAAGGACATGACAGTCCAGGGCCGCACGGGCTGGATCACCAACTCCCTGTGTATTGCGAAGGAGCTCTCTAAGTTTCAGTGCAGGAACCGACGCGGAGGGTACCGCGATCACGTGCACCTGGTCGACGGTAGGGCCAAGCACAAGGCCAACTACCCTCCAGCTCTCGTGGCGGCCATACTACGCGGATTCAAGGAGCAGGTGGGGCACGACAAGATGCTGAACGGCATGGGCGTCTCCGTGGGCAGCATGGACGTGGGCTACAACGTGGACACCGAGACCCGCGAGATGCTGCACCTCCCGGAGTACGAGATTATCTTCGATGACATCACGGGCGTGCGGCTTCCTCCTGAGCGGGTGGGGCCAGCACGCAAGAAGGATATCGAGTTCTTCCGCAGCTTCCCCGTCTACAAGCACGTGGAGGCCAGCGAGGCGGAGGGGCGCGAGATCATTGACGCTAGGTGGGTCGACGTGAACAAGGGTGACCTCGACAACATGAATGTTCGGTCGAGGCTCTGCGCGAAGGAGTTCAAGTGGAAGAATCCCTGGCTCGAGGACACGTTTGCTGGCACACCCCCGTGGGAAGGCGTCAAGACGGTGCTGAGCAAGGCGATGACCAAGGATAGGAGGCCCACTGGCGGCTTCAAGGTCAAGAAGGTACTCATCCTGGACATCTCGAGGGCGCACTTCAACCCAGCGGCGAAGCGCAAGCTGTTCATCCGCATCCCTCCTGAGGATGGCGGAGGCATTGGGCTCTTGCTCCGCATGATGTACGGCATGAGAGACGCGGCGGCTGGCTGGCAAGAGTACCACCAAGACAAGTTAGGCCTGGCCGGCTACAAGGCAGGGGTCTTCTGCCCGTGCGCGTTCTCCAACTCAGACGGGTCGTCGTCAGGAGTTGTCCACGGTGACGACTTCATCTTCGAGGGCGAGGAGCGCCCGCTCGACGCGATGGAGGCAGAGTTGCGGAAGCACATGCTGGTGCAGAGGAAGGCTCTTCTTGGGCCTGACCCCTCGGACGACAAGCGCGCGACGATCCTCAATCGGCTCATCTCCTACGTCGACGGTGGCATTGGAGTGAAGAGCCGCATCACGGTGGAACCAGACCCTCGACACGCGGAAATCTTGGTCCACGAGCTCGGCTTGAGCGGACGTGGATCCAAGGCTGTGTCGACTCCTACGGAGAAAGGGGCTAGCTACTACGACGACACTCCTTTGCAGGGTGCGAATGAGGCCAAGGCGTACAGATCCCTCTGCATGCGGCTCGGGTTCCTGGCCCAAGATCCACCCCACTTGCAGTACGTTGCCAACAAGTGCTGCAAACACATGGCGGTAGCTACTGTTGGCGGGCTGGCTCGTCTGAAGAGAGTTGCCAGGTTCCTCAAGGGTGAACCTCGGTGCGTCCAGAGCTTCGTCGAGCAGCACCACGAGGGCAAGCACATCGACGTCTACTGCGACTCCGACTGGGCCGGCGACGTGAAGGACAGGAAGAGCGTCAGCTCCGTCTTCGTTTTTCATGGTGCGCACCTCCTCAAGAGCACGGTGAGCACACAGGGCACGACCGCGCTGTCTAGCGGCGAGGCGGAGTTCACGGCTGGAGTGAAGGGGACTTCAGTTGCCCTGGGCGTTCGCTCCCTTGGAGCTGACCTAGGCGTGGAGCTGTTCCCGGTCATGCACACGGACAGCAGCGCCGCGAAGGGCATCTTCGGCAGGCGCGGGATCGGAAGGATCAGGCATCTACACACTCCTCTCCTGTGGGTCCAGGAGAAGCGCGCGAGGAAGGATATCAAGATCTGCAAGACGCCGGGCGAGACCAACCCAGCGGACCTTGGCGCCAAGGAGCTCTCCCGCGCGGACGTCCTCAAGCACCTGACGACCTGCGGGTTCGCTTTCGAGGCCGGGCGCCATCCTCTGGCGCTGGCTGCGCAGGTTCCGGTGCCTGGTGAGATCGGTGGCTTGAGCGGCTACGGCCGGGACCAGGCGCTGCGGGATGTGGAGGCGCTCATCATCGAGCGCCCGAGGCAGGTGCTGAGCGGAGTCTGGGGCGGGCGCGCCGCCGCGCCGGCGGGCCGTGGACCCCGCGCTCCACTACCTTTCGGGTCGGGCCAGACGGGCCCGGCCGCGGCAGGCGCAGAAGGTCGAGCGCGCCTCGAGACAGGCGTGCTCGAGGAGGGCTGTCGAGATAAGCACGTTTGACAGCAGGATCTGCGTGCCTGTCCGCAGCCATTCTGGCAAAAGAATTTCTCACGGGTGGAACCACCCGGATGGAGCCCTTTTCTGTCGGTTCGGTTGCAGAGTCGGATTAAATATTTACTAGGAATAAGGTTGAGCCCAGAAACGAACGCTACTGCAAAACACGCTCCCGTCCACAATCCCTCCACCAGCCCCTGCAAGCGTAAGGGGTGCCTCATTTAAAGACGGGCATCCCATGAGCTTGCCGTTCAGACGAGAGCTCCGTTTTGAAAAGGAACGACTCCCCTGCCCATGTAATTGTTGCACGCAATTACATAATTGGCCATCAGATTTGAGGGGCACATGAAGCGGTTGCCCCGTGTTGAAAATTAGCCGTCTGTTGCATATGTTCAGATTACTTGTCGTTACATGCGAGGAGTGTCAAGCAAACGCCCCGATTCGAAGGGAATCGTCGGAATCGTCTTCTATGCTTGCACACCTGGCAAATCTGGCAGACGAACGTGCGCTGCGCAAAGTAGTTGCTAGCCTCATCTTGACAAGTAGCGGTTGCAAGGTTTACGACGAATTCGAGGGTCGCTACGGTGAGAACCTCGTTTTGAAAAGGAACCGCCTTCTAATATGGTAGCAGCTGCGAGCTTTTAAGACGAGTGTGCCCGGCGCTAAGTCGAAAACCTCCTTTTGACAAGGAGCGGAGAACTCGCCATCTTGGCAACGGCTGCGAATTTTCAGGACAAACTTGTGCGGTGTTAATGGGAGAGCTTCCCTTTGAGAAGGTAACGCTCTCCATACTTGCAGCTGTTGGGAAGTTCAGGCCATGATCGCCTATGGTGAGGAGGAGTTTTCTGGCGAAGTGCATGGCCAGGAAGAGTTACCTATGAGGAAAAGGCATGGATGAGAAGGTGTTGGGAAGTTCTTGGAAGGTTTCGTAGGCGTCCCGCAGAGTATGTCGGTGTAGGTTTCCGGATGTTCTCATGGATTGCAGTCTTTCTTGATATATGGGGCGATGACACGAATGTCTGAAGGTTTCTGGAAACTCCCCCGAGGACGAGGACGAGCTGGGGGTAAGGATTTCAACGATCGGCGGCGCGCCCGACTGGGAAGTGAGACGGAGCAGGTCTTCTCAGAAGGCGGCGTGCTTCTCTGAAGCCCTCCGGCTTTCTGAGAAGTTGTTTGCGTCGTCGGGGTAGGCCCAGGGAAACTTGTCAGAAAAACCGAGGTCTTCCGAGCCTTCCGAGAAGGCCCGCCCCCTCTGACTTCTCCCCCGGGCGCGCCGCCGAAACGAGGAGGGGGAGCGGGAGCAGGAGGAGGATGAAAAGGATGAGGGGAGCAGGGTGGGAGCAGGATGAGCGCGGGGCGGCGAAGGTGCTGACGATGATGATGACGGTGACGATGGCGATGATGATTGTGGTGGTTATGGTGGTGGTGGTAGCGGTGATGAGGACAACGACGGTGATGATGTTGCCGATGATGTTGTTCTTTGATTGTTGACGGTTGGTGACTGATGGATATTGACGATGTGGTTGTTGTGGTGGTGAAAATGGTTACGATAATAGCACCGATGACTGCGACGACGACGACGACGACGAAGATGACGACGACGACGACGTCAGCGACGACCTCGACGACGAGGGTGATAGTCGTCCTGGTGGTGAGGATGGTGATCATCATGATGAGGATGGTGGTACTAGTGATGGCGGTTGTCATTGGGATGCCCGATCACGACGAGACGGAGAAGGGGGGGGGGAAAGGGAGCTTAACAGGGTGAGGCGGGCAGAGGAGAGGGGACGGCAGGGGACGCAGAGCCCGAGGCCCGCGCGAAAGGGCCCGCGCCGCTGCAGGGCCTCACCTACATGGACGCGCCCGTCTCCGGCGGCACGCCCGGGGCCGAGGCCGCCACCCTGACCTTCATGGCCCGCGGGGAGGGGCTGCTGCCGCTGCCGCCGCCGTCGCCGTCGCGTCGCCGCTTCCGTTGGTGCGGTGTCACCGCCGCCGTCGCCGTTCCCGCGGTGTCACCGCCACCGCCGCCGTCGCCGTCGCCGTCGCCGTCGCCGTCGTCGTCGCTGTTGTCGTCGTCGGCGCTGCCGCCGCGGCGCCTGGATGAAGGTCCGCGCACTCTCCCGGGGCAGTGCTGGCAAGCCTTCCCTGCCTTCCCGTATCTCTCCCTCCTTTCCCTTCTTCTCTCCCCTCCCATCTCCTAGTTCCTTTCCGTTTTGACCTCACTTTGCTCCCTTCTTCCCTCTTGGAGCGTCGGGATCCCGTAACGGCGAGAACACCAATCCTTCACAAATGTATTGGACATCTAGTTTTGGTACGGGGCCACGAAACGTGTGAGGTGTCCCGAACTGGGTGCGGGTAGGCCATGCGGACGCTGCCTCATCAAACTCCAGTTCTATATGGAAAGCGCGCGCAGACAGCTCGAACACTGAAAAATAGTTGCGGAATCGGACGTTCCCGAAATCCTCTAAGTCTCACCTGGGAACCTGATTTCTGCGACACCGTCCTCCTCCCCTCCCGTCCTTGCCGGCCCTTCTCCTTCCCCTCCCTTGCCCCTGCGAGTGCCAGGTCGGCGGCCCGGAGGAGCAGTTCCGGGAGGCGGAGCTGCTCCTCAGCCACATGGGCAGGAAGGCGGGGCCCTCTCTGGACTCTTGAGACCATGACGGCAGTACGAGCGTGTTTCTTTATTGCTTGGGGCATCATGGGCATTATAGCTCCCGGCCCCCCCTCCCCCCCCCTTTAACGTAACGCCCCCCCCCCTCCCCCCATGCGCTCTGGTCACCGCCGCCGCCGTGCGCCCGGCGGGGGGGAGGCGTTGCATTATACCCCCCTCCCTGGCCCCTCCCCCCTCCCCTACAATGCCCATTATCGCCGACAATAAAGAAACGCGCTCTACACTCAACCCGCATAGTAGGATGGGCAATTTTCCCAAGGGTGCCCTTGCATCCTCACCTCCTGCGAAGTGTCGACACGGTCTTCCAATGCCCTTGCATCCTTATCGTGCGTTCTTTTGCTACGGGTGGGCTGTAGGCGCGCCAAAGGAGAAACCAGCCTGCCAGCAGTTGCCCCACGGAAGGTTCTTATTCCCGGATTGCCCAAGGGGGGCCACAGAAGCCCTGGCACACCTTAGGAAGCTCGAAGCTTCTCGGCACATGGGCCCCCCTTAACGCATGATCGACCCCCTTCGGCGGAAGTACATCATTGTTCAGCCCCTGGAAGTTAGACTCCGCCTTCTGAATTCAGAACCGTCAGTGTGAGATCCCACCAAGATCATACAAGGATTCCAACAAGACCCCAATCGGATTCCAATCCGATTCTTCCAGGATTCCTGCAGGATTCCGGAGGATTCGGAAGATTCTTGAACATCTCCGAAGATTCTGGAGGATTTCAACATGATTCAAGAGGCTTACGCCATTCCGCCCGTGGGCTCTTTGGGCACTATCTGGGGACTCGTGTGGGCGTCGTGGGAGCTGTTTGGGGGCTTGGTGGGGCCTCTTGGAGGTAGTTTTGAAGCGTCTTGGGAGCCGTTTGGGAGCCTCTTTAAAGTCTCTTGGGGGCCTCCTGGGGGCCTCTTGGCGCTGATTTGGGGCCTCTTTTGGACCGCTTGGGGGCTTCTTGGGGCCTTTGGGGGGCCTCTCGGGTCGGAGAGACAAGATTTTCGGTTCGTGTTCTCCCTCTTGACGCCTTCTTGGGGCGATCTTTGGCCGTCTTGGCCCCCTTTTGGCAGTTGTGGGGCGGTCTACGGGGCCTCTTGGGCCGTCTTAGAGCGTCGGAAGCTCGAGAAGACGATAACCCCAGAAACAACGAAAAACCTAAGGACACCCATGTATGTTTCCCTCTCGGGATCCTCTTGGGAAGGCTTTCGAGCTTCTCTTGGGGCGTCTCGAAGGCGTTTTGGGGCGTCTTGGAGCCATCGCAGGCGTCTTGTGACAAACGTTCGGCGATTCGGACAGTCTTGGAACGTTTTTGGAGGCCACAGAAGACAGAAAGGGAAGCTCCAGAGTCTCCAGGGGTGCGCCAGGGAGCCAGGGCCAGACACCCACCCCAGGGAGCCCGGATACCCCCCCCCCACCCATTAAACGAGACGTTCGACCACACTGGGGACGGGGGAAAAGGGGGAGGGGGGACAGCCGATCATTCCACGCGCCTTCTCACCCCCAGCAAGCGGGGGCCGGCGGATTCCCGAAGGAGTCCTGAGGATTCGGGCGTGATTCCTGAAGATTCCTGCAGGATGTCTGCAGGATTCCTGCAGGAAGTCCATGTGTTTTCTTACGGATTCCTGCTGGATCCCTGAGGGTTCCTGGAGGATCCCTGAAGGATGAACTCCTGATATAGTGAGTGCAACACGGTGCAAACACATTTCACACATACATTCATACATACATGCATACACACATACATACTACATACTACATACATGCATACATACATGCATGCATGCATGCATGCATGCATTCACTCATATACATACACACATAGGCATACATACATACATACATACATACATACATACATACATACATACATACATACATACATACATACATACATACATACATACATACATACATACATTTATACATACATACATACATACATACATACATACATACATACATACATACATACATACATACATACATACATACATACATACATACATACATACATACATACTTACATACATACATACGTACATACATACATACATACATGCATGCATGCATGCATGCATACATACATACATACATACATACATACATACATACATGCATCCATCCATCCATACATACATACATACATACATACATACATACATGATTGCAGTGATTCCTCGACGCGCGGGGGCTCTGGCTTCAAGCTCTCATTCGGCGGGCGCCCTCGCGCGCACGTTTCTCCGCGCACCCTCCAGTGGATGCTGGCCTCGTTCCTGGCGGCTGCGGCGTCCGCGTGCAGCCGGCGTGCGCCTGCTGCCTCCCTGGCTGGGGCCGGCGCCTCGCTGGGCAGCGCGGCGCCTGGGCCCGCGGTGCAGACCGTCAACGTGCACCTGACCCCTTGCGGGGCCGGCGGCTCGCCGGCTGGCGCGGCCCCCGGCGCGGGCCCTGCGACCCGGGACGTGGGTACGCAGACGGAGCCCGAGGAGCCGGCGCCCCGCCCGACTCTGGCCGCCCCGCCCCGTGCGCCCCGAGCGGCGCGCGCCGAGGCCTGGGCCTACGCGGTCTGGGCGAGCCCAGCGGCCCCGGACCTCGTGGGGGTCCACTGCGGCGCGCGGCGGGCTTGGGACGCCATCGCCGGGCGGATCGGAGGACGAGGCGATTGCTGGCTACCTTGCCGAGGCCGCCCGCCACGGCGCCCCTGTGCCGCCTCCCCTCCGCCGCTGGTGAGGATGGCTCAGGAGGAGAACGCGGTCGACACTGGCGAGGAGGAGGACGAGGACCTCAGCGCCTGGTTTGTGTGCGCCACGCCCCAGAACGTGTCAGCCGCGGCGCTGCTGCCCGCCCCTGCTGCTGGAGGGATCGCTGGAGAGTTCGGGTTCCTCACGCTGACAGCTGGCGAGGGCGAGGTCTACGCCTTCCACGACGACGGCTGGTGGCCCGACCCAGTGGCTCCTGTGAAGGCGGTCCCCGCCGTGATGCGGGCCGCTCTGGACTCTCTGCAGGGCGCTGGCGAGCCCGCGCTCGTGGCGACAGGCGCACCGCAGGAGATGGGGCCGGCGCCGTCCGCCTTCGGACCGCAGCTCCGCCCCCCTCTGGTGCCCGGGCTCCAGCCAGCGGCCGCCGAGGCTGGGTTCGGCGTGCGGTTCGCAGGGGAGGCCTCTCTGCTCCCTCCAGCCGCCACGACGCCGCCGAGCGAGCTGCTGGAGCAGCAGCGGGCTGGTGCGGTCGAGGAGTTGAGGAGCCTGGCCGCGGAGGTGGCGGAGCTGAAGCGGCAGCGGGCAGCCGTGCACGCGCAGCCGGCTGCTCTGCCCGCCTCCCCGAAGGCGCCGACCAGGAGGGCCCTCACCAGGCAGGCGCCGCAGCAGCAGCAGCAGGTCCTGGAGCAGATCCTGGCCAGGCAGAACGCGCTTTGGGAGAGGGTCGCCGCTTTTGGAGGGCCTGCCCGCCGCGCGCGCCGCTGCGGCCGCCGCCGGGCCACCTCCGCCCCGCCGGGGAGGCGCGGCGCACCCGTTCCTGCAGCGGCCCCCCTCCGGCCAGGCGACCTCGGGCCCCCAAGGTCCTGCTCTGTCGCCGGGCCCTCCGCTCCCGCCTCCACGCAGCTCTGCCCCTCCGCTAGCGGGCCAGACCGCGGAGCCCCAGCCCCCTGTGGCTCCCGCAGGAGCCGGCGGCCACGTGGAGCAGCTGACGACCCTGCTTGCCCAGCAGGCGTCATTGATGGGGGCCCTGGCTCAGAGCAGCGGTCGCCTACCAGACGCACTGTCGCTCCTGGCGGACGGCGGGCGCGACGACGGGCTTGGCGAGAGCGCTGGCATGCGACTTGGCGGCGCACGCGGCGCTGCCGCCCTAAGGCTGTTCCGACGTCAGGTCCAGAGCAGCCCCAGGCCGTCTCCGCCATGGTCAGGCGGAATCGCCAGCTCAACATGACGGGTGCCGCAAACGAGGAGGGCATGAGCGACTCCATGATCGGCTACACCAAGGACACGCTGGACCTCGAGGACGCGGAGCGGAAGCTCGCGCCGGCCGCCGCACCGAGGGCCGAGGAGGACAGAGGAAAGGGGGGGGGCTCAAAGCGCCAAGGCAAGGCCTCTGGCGCGCCCCCCCACGAGTGAGAGCGGGGCTCCCTGGGCTGGCTGGCCCGGGAGCTCTGCGCGACGCTGCCCCAGCCTCGTGGCCGCGCGGACGCGCGGGGGACCGCAGGAGGCTGGTGGGCGGCAGCAATTCGCTGGACGTGGGCATCCGCTGGGGTTTTGGCCTGATCCGCCGCCTGCGCGGGCTTCGCACGGCCTTCGGCGCCTTCGTCGCCTTCGTCCGCTCCTCCATGCGCGCCGCTGGGTTCCAGGAGGTTGCGACTCCTGCCGCCGGTCTGCTGCCCTGCCCCCCGCCCTTCGGGTGGGGTGCTGGTACCCCCCCGCGGGGCGTGCGCGCTCGCAGGCGATGGCTTCGCACTCGCGTCGAGCACATGTGGGTCAGCGCCGTCGTCCTCGCGCTCTCCCACCTGCACCTGGGCGAGTCGCGGAGCTGCCCGCCGCGCGCCCGCGCGGGGAGGCCTCTCAGTTCGTCTCAGTCCGAGATGGTGTCCAGGCTGAGGAGGCTTGTGCGACCGATGTGCCGGCCACTGCAATGGCAAGGTGGCCGCGTGGAGAAGGCCGACGCTCTGCTCGACTATCTCCTGAATGCGACGCAGCTCCCCCTGGGCGCCGCGGCGCCCTCTCCTGACTGCGAGGGGGCGACCATCGACCCGAGCAAGGCTGCCTTCGCCAAGGCCGATCCACTTCGACCCCCTGGCGTTCCTGGCCCCGTTTTCCGCCGCCACGTTCTTAGAGCCGCGGCTGCTGGCGCGGGATGGGCCGGGTGCCGGCCCTCTGGCGCGCGCGGTCGGGCCCCCGACCCGGCCCGCTCCGGCGAGGCCGGCCCGCCAGGCGGGCAAGCCTGGCGACCTCCTCCAGTACCTGAAGCAGTGGGATGACGTGGGGCGACCGGAGCTGGTCGACGTGGCCGACTCCCCGCAGGCCCTGCGAGGTACCCTGTTCCCCGTGTTCAAGGACGCCAACACGCAGAGGGTCGTCTTCAATCGCATCGCTCGCAACTCGGCTGAGTTGCCGCTGGGCGGCTTCTCCAGACTGATCCCGAGCGCCGCCGCGCTGGTGGACCTGGAGGTGCCGGCTGGCTTTGTCCTGCGCGTCTGGGCGGACGACCTCCAGGACTTCTATCCCGCCTTTGACTGCGCTTACGACGTGGCCTGCACCAGCGACGTGGCGCTCCCGCTCCCGACGAGGCTCTACGAGGGCTTCGCAGCGCTGGGCCGGCTTCGGAGGCGTTGCCGTCGTGAGGGTCGCGAGCTCCCCGAGAAAGTGGTTCCCTGCCATGGCAGCCTGATCATGGGGGGCCTGAACGCTCCCGACTGGGCGTGCGAGTCCCACATGCGGCTGCTCGCCCACGCTGGCAGCTTCCCCCCAGAGCGGCGGGTGCTGAACCGCCACCTTGCCCCCGAGGGGTCTGCCTGGGAGGGCGTCGTGCTGGGCGACCACTTCGGCCTGGCGGTCGACGCTCCAGGCTCACGGGAAGCTCGGCGAGCCATCGAGGAGTCCTTCGCCCTTGCGCGCGAGGGCTATGCCAAGGCTGGCCTCAGGGTCAGCGCGGGCAAGGAGGTGAAGGACGCGGCGGAGGCGACGGTCATCGGGGCAGAGCTTCTGGGCCACGACCGGCTCGTCGGCGCCTCACGCACCCGCAGGCTGGCGTTGGCCTGGATGGGCCTGTCCATGGCCCGAGGCCGACGCTCCACTACGCTTGGGCTGCAGAGGTTCCTTGGCATGGGGCTTTTTGCCGCGCTGTTCCGGCGGCCGACCCTGTCGCTCCTCCACTACTGCTACGAGGAGGTCGACGTCGGCCGCGACCCGCACGAGGTGTTCGACCTGAGCAGCGCGGCCTGCAACGAGTGCGCCCTGTTCGCGGTTCTCCTCCCGCTGATGGCCACCGACCTCTCCGCAGGCTGGGGGCCGCATGTTCTGGCCCCGGACGCCTCGCACCTGGCCGGAGCGTCCGTCAAGACGCCTGCCTCAGCGCCCACCGCCAGAGCTTTTTGGCGCCAGCGCGAGCAGCGAGGCGCTCGTACGTGGCTTTACCCCTCAGGCTGGGCTGCCCTTGCCAACCCCGAGGACGGCGCCGTCCTGCTGGACCTGGAGGAGGATGCCGCACCTCCCCCTGGCGTCGTCGACCCGACGCTCTCGCTGATCGAGTACTTCGACGTGCTGGAGCCCTGCTGCGGGGAGGAGGCCCGCCTCATGGGCTACCTCGCGGACCGGGGCCTGCGTGCGGGCCCGAGGATAGACATCAAGTGCCGCAAATATTGGGACCTGGTCGACTCACGCTTGGCGGAGTGGGTAGTATGGCTGATCTGGCAGAGGCGCGTCAAGATGACCATATCACAGGTTCCATGCACCAGCTTCTCCATCGCGAGGCACCCGAGGCTCAGGTCCAGGATGCGGCCCTGGGGTGTCGACCCATCTTCGACTCCGACGCGTCTGGGGAACGTCCTCTTCAGGGTGTGCATGCTGGCGCTGTTCGCCCACCTTCTCTCGGGCCACGCTTGCGCGAGCGCTCCCTGACGGCCTACTCTTGGTACACGCACATCGTCGAGTTCCTGCTGACGCACGAGGCCGTGGAGCGCTTCGACCTCTCGATGTGCCAGTTCGGCGCGCCCTGGAAGAAGGACACTAGCCTCCTGGTCGTGCGGGGCTCATGGCTGGCGCCTGTGGCGAGGCGCTGTCGCGGAGGGCACAAGCACACGGTCTTAGAGGGCGGCCTGACTCCCAAAGCCGCGCTCTACCCGCACGGCTTCTGCGACGAGCTGTCCAAGCTGATCGCCGACAACCTGGACGGGCCGACTCCGCCGCCGCCGGCGGAGAGCTCGGCGCCCGCTGGAGCGTTCGAGGCCCTCTGGCTGAACGACTACGTCGGCTTCGCTCCCTGGCAGCTGCACTGCCACCGCCTTTTCCGCAAGCCCCTCCACATCAACTTGCTGGAGATCGACGCGGCCTGCGACGCGGTGGGCGAGCAGGGCCTGCGGTTCCCTGATTGCAAGCACAACCTCCTCCTGGACTCCCGCGTCTCGATCGGGGCCATCAGCAAGGGCCGCTCCTCATCGACTGCGATCAACAAGCTCTTGAGAAGGAGGGCCCTGTTGCAGCTGGCCGCGGGCTCGTGCGTCGGATGCCACTTCGCGCCGACGCGACTGCAGCCAGCCGACGCCCCGTCGCGCACGCTCCGCGACCCGGCGAGCGCTCGGGCCCGCGGGGCCGAGGCTCCGTCTCTCGCTCCGTGCTGGCTGGCCGGCCTCGAGGCTGGGGGCGCCTCAGCCTTCCGCGCTTGGGCTGCGCTCCCGCTGCAGCGCCGGCAGCAGTCACGGTGGGATTGGCTGGTGGCGTGCCTCTGGTGGCGCGGGCTCCTGCGGCTCGCCCCTCGACCGCGGGTGCGCGACCCCGCGCTGGGCTTCCCGGGCGAGGGCCCGCGCGGCGGAGGCGGCTTGCCGAGGAGGCCCCCCCATGGAGGTGAGCAGGGTTTCACCCCCTGGTCAGGTGACGGCCCGGCTCCTCCCGGGCACGGCCAGCCTCCATCAGGGCCGGGCTCGTGGAGCCCCGGCGCCGGCCTCCCGCGCCGCTGCAGCCTGGCCGGCGCGGCCGCGGGCCCGCCTGGTCGGGCTCTTGGTGCTGCCGCTGCTGCTGTGGGGCCCTGCGGCCGCGCCGCGCCCGCCGACCTCCCGCCCCGCGGGGGTGGGCCTGGCGGCCACGCGCGGCCTGACGCCAGTGGTCCAGGCGCGCCGTGCTGCCCTCGTCTCGCAGCTCCAGCACTGGCTGGCGGGCCGCGGCGTGCCCAGCTGGGACCTGTTCATCCTGATGGACCCAGCTCCGGTGGCTCGCTACCTGGCCAAGTACGGCCCGTTTTTGTACGACGCGATGCGGAGCCGCCACGACTACGACGAGACGATCAATGCGGTGGTGGACGCAAATCGTGCCCTCCGACACCCACTCGACGCGGCGTGGGACATCTCCTTCACGCGGAAGCACCTGACGCCTGGCTCGAACCATCAGGCGATGCCGGAGGCGCTGCTGCTCGCTTCGGTGAGCCTTGCACTGGCGTGGGGCTGGTGCGACGTCGCCGGCGGCCTGCTCCTCGGCATCTTCGGGATGATGAGGCCCTTCGAGTTCCTGAGGCTGAGGTTCGGGGACCTGGTGCTCCCCTCGCGGACGTTGGATCGTGTGCAATCAAGGTATGTGCACGTGGGCGCGCCCCAAATGAGACGCCTAGGAGCGCGCCGCGAGCGCATCAGAATTGATGTCCCGCAAGCTGTGCATTTCTTCGTGGCCCTCTCACTTCTGTCCTCCCCTCGCTTCCCTCTCATGCATGGTGGTGCCCGTGTTTTCAGATTTTGTCTGGATTCCCTCAGGGTTTTCTTCGGAATTCAACTTTCAGACAAAGGTGGCATCACCCCCGCGTCCCTCCGCCCGGGAGGGGCCACGTTTTGGTATAGGTTCACAGATTCGCCAGACTGGGTTCGCTACAGGGGCTGATGGCTCTCCAGTAGGTTGCTAGAGATTTAAATCCAGGAGGTCGGGGCTAGTACGCTCCTCGCGGACCTCCCGACTCCCCTCCGTAGTAAAATCCGGCTTTTCGCCGAGGCTGCCAGCGCCCCCCCTTTTCGTGACCACCTGGCAGCTTCTGTCTTCGAGTCGTTTGCCGAGGCCGAGCGACGTCGACCCCCGCCCTTCCGGTCACCGTCCTCGTGTGCCGCCGCCGCTGCCAACAGAGCTCTTCGGTTCCCGCTTCGCTCTGCCCTCCCCCGCCCCGTCTTCCACCAAGAGCGGTTGTGGCTAGTCGAGGCCGGCCCCAACCGTGGCCGTCCTCGAGCTTTCAGAATGTTTGCAGAGGCAGTGGTGAGCCCGGAAAAGTGCATCGGCCTTGGGTTTTAAGAGGAGCTTCTTCAGCAGAGGAAGGGCATCGCTGATTGCAGTGATTCCTCGACGCGCGGGGGCTCGTGGCTTCAAGCTCTCCCGTGCCCGCCCGCCCTGGGCTAGTCGAGGCCGGCCCCAGCCGTGGCCGTCCTCGAGCTTTCAGAATGTTCGCAGAGGCAGTGGTGAGCCCGGAAAAGTGTATCGGCCTTGGGTTTTAAGAGGAGCTTTTGCAGCAGAGGAAGGGCATCGCTACATACGTACATACGTACGTACGTACGTACGTACATACATACATACACACAATGGATGCATACATACATACATGCATACAAGCATGCATGCATGCATGCATACGTGCACACATACATACGTACATACAACCATACACACATACATACATACATACGCGCACATACATATACTCATACATACCTACATCCATCCATCCATCCATCCATCTATGCATACACACATGCATAAACACATGCATCCATACACACATACCTACATACTTACTTACATCCATTCATACATACATGCATGCATGCATTCATCCATCCGTCGATTCATCCATACATGCATGCATGCACGCATGCATACACACGTACACTCATAATCACATACACGCATACATCCACACACTTACACATACATACGTATACACGCACGTACGTGCATCCATTCATTCGCACATACATACATACATGCATACATACGTACATACACATACATACATATATACACACATACATACATACATACATACACACATACATACACACTTACATACCTGCACACATACATACATACATGCATCCATGTATGCATGCGTACATATATACATACATACATACATACAGACACACATACATACATACATATACACATACATACTTACTCACGCATATATATATATACACATTTACGCACACACACATATATATATACAGACATACGTACATACACACATACATACACACACTTACATACGTACATACATACATGCATGCATACATACATACATACGCACATACATACACACATACAGACATTCATACGGACATATTTGCATTCATACTTACATACATACATACATACACCCATACATACTTACATTTATGCATATACACATATATACATACACTGTATGCCATATGTGTGTAGCATGTTGTGCACGGCATGCAACTGTTCATATGAGAGACGCATCATGTTGCAAACTACCGGGGCGTGCGTAAAATTACCCTGGCGACGTGCCCAACCCCTGCGCAAAAGCGGGGCGCAAATAGTTTAGGATACTTTATAAGGGGGCGATGACGGAGCGAGGGTTACATATGTCTGCAGACGGAATTCGGGAGACTCGCAGGACACTGGCTACAGGAAAAGGGCTTGATAAAGCTGATGATTTACAATTCCTGAGCACTCCTAGCCACTTCGAAAACGGGGATCACAGCAGGCCTCGAAAGTGGCGACAGGTTCACAGATCGCAGCCCCGCAGGGATGGCGAGGTCTCATTTGAATCTGCCCGTGGCCCTCACTGTGCTGGGCTCGAAAATGGCTAGTTCGCCGCAGCTGTGCTGTCCAGCCTCGAAAATGGCGAGGTTTCGAATCCGCGCGTGGCCCTCACTGTGCTGGGCCCCCCAGCAGGCCTCGAAAATGGCGACAGTTTCGCAGATCGCAGCCCCCCAGGGATGGCGAGGTCTAATTTGAATCTGCGCGTGGCCCTCACTGTGCTGGGCCCCCCAGCAGGCCTCGAAAATGGCGACAGTTTCGCAGATCGCAGCCCCCCAGGGATGGCGAGGTCTAATTTGAATCCGCGCGTGGCCCTCACTGTGCTGGGCCCCCCAGCAGGCCTCGAAAATGGCGACAGTTTCGCAGATCGCAGCCCCCCAGGGATGGCGAGGTCTAATTTGAATCCGCGCGTGGCCCTCACTGTGCTGGGCCCCCCAGCAGGCCTCGAAAATGGCGACAGTTTCGCAGATCGCAGCCCCCCAGGGATGGCGAGGTCTAATTTGAATCCGCGCGTGGCCCTCACTGTGCTGGGCCCCCCAGCAGGCCTCGAAAATGGCGACAGTTTCGACAGAGATCGCAGCCCCCCAGGGATGGCGAGGTCTAATTTGAATCCGCGCGTGGCCCTCACTGTGCTGGGCCCCCCAGCAGGCCTCGAAAATGGCGACAGTTTCGCAGATCGCAGCCCCCCAGGGATGGCGAGGTCTAATTTGAATCTGCGCGTGGCCCTCACTGTGCTGGGCCCCCCAGCAGGCCTCGAAAATGGCGACAGTTTCGCAGATCGCAGCCCCCCAGGGATGGCGAGGTCTAATTTGAATCCGCGCGTGGCCCTCACTGTGCTGGGCCCCCCAGCAGGCCTCGAAAATGGCGACAGTTTCGCAGATCGCAGCCCCCCAGGGATGGCGAGGTCTAATTTGAATCCGCGCGTGGCCCTCACTGTGCTGGGCCCCCCAGCAGGCCTCGAAAATGGCGACAGTTTCGCAGATCGCAGCCCCCCAGGGATGGCGAGGTCTAATTTGAATCCGCGCGTGGCCCTCACTGTGCTGGGCAGGCCCCCAGCAGGCCTCACAGCATCGACAGTTTCGCAGAGGGATGGCGAGGTCTAATTTGTTCAAGTCGGCGACAGGATCTGGCGAGGTCTAATTTGGATCCGCCCGTGGCCCTCACTGTGCTGGGCCCCCCAGCAGGCCTCGAAAATTGCAACAGTTTCACAGATCGCAGCCCCCCGCGGGCAAGACAGGAAGAGGCGGGAGGGGAAAAGGAGGAAGGGCGGGAGAAGGGACGCGACCACACTGCTCTATTCAAAACGAATACCCAACCAAGGAGGGTTGGGAAAAAAACGACCACCCGTCGATATGATGAGGTAATGGCGTTCTGCATTAGAAGTAATGATCGTGCGTGTCGTACGAAACGTGTGAGGGGTGTGCCGCGAAACGGGCGCGGGGCCAGAATACGCTCAAACAGGGTCCTCCTGGAACGGCGGAGTGTCCATTATCTTCGCCCGCGCGTGTGTCCACTGTATCGTTTCCATTATCTTCGCCCTACGCTGAAACAGGGTCCTCCTGGAACGGCGGAGTGTCCATTAGCTTCGCCCGCGCGTGAGGCCACTGTATCGTTTCCATTATCTTCGCCCGCGCGTGAGGCCACATTCTCGGTCCCATGAGATTCGCCCGCACGTGGGGCCACATTTTCGCATTCTTCTGTTACAGCCCAAAAATCGTGTTCGCCCTCCCCCCCCTCCCCCCCATGGAGCAAAGCTGGGTGGAGGCGGAAGCGCCGACCTGCCCGGCCCACGAGTCAGCTTTGCACTTCGGGGGGGAGGGGGGGGAGGGAAAGAGGGAGGGAGGGAGGGAGGGAAGGTGGAGGAGGCAGGAGGAGGAGGGGAGGAGGAGGAGGAGGAGGACGACGACAACGACGAGGAGGAGGACGAGGAGGGAGGAACAGCTTTGCACTTCGGGGGGGAGGGGGGGGAGGGAAAGGGGGAGGGAAGGGGGAGGGAAGGGGGGAGGGAGGCAGTGGGGGAGGAGGGGGGAGGAAGAGGAGGGTGAAGGGGAGGAGGAGGAATGAGGAATGAGGAATGAGGAATGAGGAATGAGGAATGAGGAATGCAGGAGGAGGAGGACGAAGAGGAGGAGGAGGAGGAGGAGGAGGAGGGAGGAGGAGGAGGAGAAGGAGGAACAACTCTGCACTTCGGAGGGGAAGGGGGGGAAGGGAAGGAAGGAGGAAGGGAGGGAGGAGGGAGGAAAAGGAGGAATGAGGAGGATGGAGGAGGAGGAGGGGCGACGAGGAGAAGGAACGAGGATGATTTTCAAATGGAGTGCGAAGGAGTGCCTCTGGGGAGTATCTCCAGAGGCTTTCGGGCGGAGTGCGGACGACTGCGGAGGATTTCAAATTCCAGCGGAGGCCTCTGGGGAGCACCTCCAGAGGCCTCCAGGAGGAGTGCGGACGAATGCGGAGGATTTCAAATTCAAGCGGAGGCCTCTGGGGAGTGCCTCCGGAGGCTTTCGGGCGGAGTGCGGACGAATGCGGAGGATGTCCAATTCCAGCGGAGGCCTCTGGACTGCCTCCCAGAGACTTCCGGGAGGAGTGCGGACGAGTGCGGAGGATATCAAATTCGAGCGGAGGCGTCTGGGGACTAGTGCTGGAGGCCTCCGGCGGGAGGATTGCGGACGAGTGCGGACGATTTTGAATTGGAGGCTGGAGGATGGGAGGGTGGGGCGGCGGGCGAGGGAGGGGGGAGGGATAGGCCCGGCGACAAAGAAGCGACCACATCTTCTTTGCGAGACCTTGCGTGCAGAGGCTGTGATATGATTCGGGCAGGCCCAGTGAGGCAGACATGAAAACATCTCCCTGGCGAAGACGTGCGTACAGAGGCTGTGATATGTTTTGCCAGCCGCGGTGAGGGAGACTTCAAACCGTCTTCCTTGCCAAGATGTGCGTGCAAAGGCTGTGATGCGATGATGTTGGCATGTGAATCGAACGATGTCGTGCGTGCGATTGCTGTGCGATGATCTGGTTGTGATGTGGAGGCAACTGTGAACCGAACGATGTCGTGCGTGCGATGGCTGTGCGATGATCTGGTTGTCATGTGGAGGCAACTGTGAACCGTCTGGCGCGTTCCGCGTGCCACGGTCGTTTATTTCGCACACACCGGTATTATCCCGGCAAAGCAACCTAACAGCGATGTGCAGAAGCATATTTGGAAGCATTGCCCTTGAGATTCATGTAGGAGTGCTGTTGTAGAATTCTGGTGTAATCGCAGTCGCAGTCGCAATCGCAATGGCAGTTGCAGTGGCAACGGCAGTCGCAGTCGCAGCCTCAGCCTCAGCCTGCCTCAGCCTCAGCCTGCCTCAGCCTCAGCCTCAGCCTGCCTCAGCCTCAGCCTCGACCTCAACCTCAGCCTCAACCTCAGCCTGAATGCGAGGAGCCAACTGTAGCCCATTCAAAAAATAACCCGGGAATCTCAGTCTGCCTCAGCATCAGCCTGCCTCAGCGTGTGCAGCCTTAGTCTGCCTTCAGCCTCGGCCTCAGCCTCAGCCTGCTTCAGCATCAGCCTGGCTTCAGCCTCAGCCTGCCTCAGCATCAGCCTGCCTCAGCGTCTGCCTCAGCCTGCCTCAGCCTCAGCCTCAGCCTCAACCTCAGCCTCAGCCTCAGCCTCAACCTCAGCCTGCCTCAGCCTCAGCCTGCGTCAGCCTCGGCCTCAGCCGCAGCCTGCATCAGCCTCAGATTGCATCAGCCTCAGCCTCAGCCTCAGCCTCAACCTCAGCCTCAGCCTCAGCTTAAGCCTGCCTCAGCCTCAGCCTCAGCCTGCCTCAGCCTCAGCCTCAGCCTCAGCCTCAGCGGTGGATTCCCCATAGTCACTGGCGGCGCTGGGGCCTCAGCCTCAGCCTCAGTGGTGGATTCCCCATAGTCACTGGCGGCGCTGGGGGCCGCAGCCTCAGCCTCAGTGGTGCGTTCCCCATAGTCACTGGCGGCGCTGGGGGCCTCAGCCTCAGCCTCAGTGGTGCATTCCCCATAGTCACTGGCGGCGCTGGGGGCCTCAGCCTCAGCCTCAGTGGTGCGTTCCCCATAGTCACTGGCGGATCCGCGGATTCTCCCCGGATCCTGCCCGGACCCCCCTGGGGAGTCATGATGCTTTCTTTTGAGACCATGAGAAACCTATCAGTCTTCGCTGTTAGGTAGTATGTAAGTCTAGACGCTTCGCGTAACACCATCAGCCCATCCAGAAACGATGTCCAGGCGAATTGCCCTGATAACGGATGTGGAGGAGCATTCAGTTGAATAAAGGGTTGGCTGGGGAAGCCGTCGTACCCCAAGCGGGGGAGCATGGAAGGAGGAGAAGGCGGAGGAGGAGGAGGAGGAGGAGGAGGAGGAGGAGGAGAAGAAGGGAGGAGGAGGAGGGAGGAGGAGGAAGAGGAGAGGAGGAGGAGGAGGAGGAGGAAGGAGGAGGAGGAGGGGCGGGGGAAGGTAAGGGGGAGGGAGGAGGAGTAGGAGGATCATGATGATGATGATGAGGAGAGGGGGAGGAGGAGGACCAGGTGGATGAGGAAAAGGAGGATGAGGAGGACGATGACGATGACGATGACGATGACGATGACGATGACGATGACGATGACGATGATGATGATGATGATGATGATGATGATGATGATGATGATGATGATGATGATGATGATGATGATGAGGAGGAGAGGAGGAGGAGGAGGAGGAGGAGGAGGGAGGAGGAGGAGGAGGAGGAGGAGGAGGAGGAGGAGGAGGTAGGAGGAGAACGAGCTGACTCAGAGGCCTATTGGACGCCTGTCGGAGTCTCTGCAGATGCCTTCTTGGAGCTTCTTGGAGTTCTTCTGGGGCGTCGTCGGGGCTTCTTGGCGGTCCTGGAGCCTCTTGGAGCGTTTTGGATGCCTCGGGGGATTTCGCGGCATTGAAATCCTAGGGATGGTGTTGTGGCACACTTCTGGGCTTTCAAACGGTTGTCTTCCAACGGGGCCCTTCCCTCAGTGAAACTGATTTTTTCTAGGGGCCTCTGAAGCGGGAGCTGAGAGGGAGGGTTTACTGCAATATCGTTTATGGGTCTTGGGTGTACACTGGTTCTTCTCCTCCTCCTCCTCCTTCTTTTCCTCCTCCTCCTCCTCCTCCTCACTCCTCCTCCTCTTCCTTCTTCTTCTTCTTCTTCTTCTCCTCCTCCTCCTTCTCAATCCTCCTCCTCCTCCTCCTCCCTCCTCCTCCTTCCTGTTCTTGCCGTGGCCTTGCTGAACGGGCGCCTCGGGCGGGCGCCTCCGAGCCGAGGTGGTCCACTGTGGCGGCGTGGGCATGGGCCAGGCCAGTGGGCCGGGGAGCCAGCCGCGCGCGTTTTGCGAGCTTCCGCCGTGGTGCGTCCGTCTGCCCCAGCTGTGCGTCGTGTCGTCCTCGGGGTGAGGGGAGATTTATGGTGAGGGGGCCGATGAGAATGGTGATGGTGACGGGGACGGTGATGACGATGCTGCTGATGATGATGATGACGATGATGATGACGATGATGATGATGGTGATGATGATGATGATAATGATGATGGTGATGATGATGATGGTGCTGATGCTGGTGCTGCTGATGCTGATGCTGATGCTGCTTCTTCTGCGGATGATGATGATGCTGCTGCTGCTTCTGCTGCTGCTGCTGATGATGATGCTGATGATGATGATGCTGCTGCTGCTGATGATGATGATGATGATGCTGATGCTGATGCTGATGCTAGTGCTGATGCTGGTGATGATGATGTTCATGATGAGGATGGTTATGATGATTCTGATGATGCTGATGACTATGCAGATGATGATTATTCTGATGCTGATGATTCTGATGCTGCTGCTGATGCTGATGCTGATGCTGCTGATGATGATGCTGATGATGATGATGATGATGATGATGATGCTGATGCTGATGCTGATGCTGATGCTGATGATGCTGCTGCTGATGCTGCTGCTGATGCTGATGCTGATGCTGATGCTGATGCTGATACTGATACTGCTGCTGGTGATGATGATGCTGCTGAGGATGATGATGCTGATGCTGATGCTGATGGTGATGGTGATGGTGATGATGATGCTGCTGCTGCTGATGCTTATGCTGATGCTGATGCGTATGTTGATGCTTTTGCTGATGCAGTTTCTGATGCTGAGGAGATGGATGAAGATGATGAGGAGCAGGAGCGAGGAGGAGGAGGAGGAGGAGGAGGACGAAAAGGAGGAGGAGGAGGAGCAGGAGGAGGAGGAGGAAGAGGAGGAGGAGGAGGACTCCGAGCAGGAGGGGGCGCTCATCTCGGACGCCGTCTACCGCGACGTGACCAAATGGAGGAAGGAGAGAATGAGGAGATGGGCGCTGAGGATGCGCTCATGCCAGGGCCTGCTGACGACGGCGGCGGCGCACCGCCAGGAGGACCAGGGAGGGACGAGCAGGGAGGAGGAGCACAAGGACCAGGAGGACCAGGAGGAAGAGGACAGCAAGGCGTGTGCTATCCCGCTCGTGTCACGTGAGATGCGCCCATGCTCTTGGGGCAGTCGACAGCGATGCAGCTGGATGTGCATACGGTGCATGGCTGCCAAAGTGGGAGCGGGGGACGAGATGCGTCCTGTCGGTCACGCGGAGGCTGCGCACGCACAGAAGGCGAGGACCGCTCTGACCATTGTAGCTGCCCACCGCGACGCTGACGGGGGACACACACCCCGGCCCCGAGCAGGGAGGGAGCGACCTTGGCCAAGGCGGAATACCCGTGTCCTCTTACGTGTGGGTGCCCGGCAGATTCCGCGGGGCACTGGCGCATGCCCGCCGCAAGGCTTTGGAAGTACTGGGAGAAGCGAACCGCCAGGGAGAAGCGTCTGCAGAGTGGAAGCTGCTCCTCCTGTTTGACGTGATGCTCCTCGCCCAGTTGGGCGGCAGCGGCCCAGCGTGTGCAGAGTTGCTGGGGGAGCGGTTTGCTCCGGGGCGGCCAATGGCTGCCCGTGGGGGCCTCCGCCACGGGGGGGCAGCCTCGCGTCCTGGGCGCCTGCGGGGCGCACCGCGGCCAAGCAGCGAGGGAGGCGCGTGCGCACGCTGGCCGCCGCCGCCGCGAACAGAGCCGCGTCTTGGCCGCCGCGGTCGGGGCCGAGCTGGCACCGCGCACGGCCGCGACGCCAGACCAGCTGCGCGCGAGGTTCCCGCAAGACGAGCTGGCCCTGGCAGCGGAGCAACCGCAGCCGCCGCAGCGCCTGCCGCGCGCGCCGCCCAGCCCAGAGCTCCGGGAGCAGGCGGAGGACGAGGTGCGCAAGCTGCTTCGGCACCCCTTCCGGCTGACAGCGCCGGGCCTGCTTTGGCACGCGGCTGGAGCACCTTGCTGCCGGCGCCGACAGCGGAGAGGCTTGGCGCCTGCTGTCCCGGGTGGCCGCGCAGGTCGCTTTCGGCGGGCTCTCGCGGGACGTTTTCCGGGCGCCCTGGTCAGGGGAGCTCGTGGCGCTCGACAATGGGGTCGGGGAGGTTCGACCTTTGACTCCCCTGGTGGGCGCGACTCCCGCCGCCTCGGACTGACGCAGCTTGCCGACGCCGCGGGCGAGCACCAGTACGGCGACGGGGTTGAGCGGAAGGGCGGGGCGATATTCGTGGGGACGCACCTGCCTGCCTTAGTGGAGACTTGGCCAGACGACACATTCATCAAGGTGGACGTGGAGGTTTTTTACGAAAGAAAAAACATCCAGGGCGATGACGGCCGTCAGGGGAGGACGTCATGTTTCGCGCTGGCGGCGTCTGGGAATGTTTCGGAATGACCGAGGACGGGTAGGCGCAGCATGTGTAGGTGGCGATCTGCATCACAGAGCCCGTGTGAACCACAGTGCCTGTGTGCACCACAGCGCCTGTGCATTCCACGTCGCCTGCGTACGCCACAGCAGCCGTGTGCAACACAACACCAGTGTACACTGATGGGCTTGTTTTCCACCACCACCACCACCATAAGTTGGAGAGGGAGGGGGTCCTTCTCCTCCTCCTCCTCCTCCTCCTCCTCCCCCTGCTCCTCCTCCTCCTCCTCCTCCTCCTCCTCCTCCTCCTCCTCCTCCTCCTCCACCTCCTTCCCCCCCTCCAACTTATGGTGGTGGTGGTGGAAGACAGGCCCATCGTACGCCGCCCGCGCCCGCGCCGCGCCCTCGGCCCGCGGGCGCCGCAGGCGGCCAAGCTGTGCAACAACCTGGTCCTGGGCATCTCCATGGCGGCCGTGTGCGAGGCCGGCCGTTGTGGCCGTGGCCCGCGCCGCCCAGCCCCCCCTCGGGGAGGCCCGCCGCCCGCTCCGCTTGGCGTCGCCCGGACGTGTGCATGTTCTCGCGGCGAGGGCCATCGGGGGAGCATCTAGGATTGGGTCGGACCTGTCCCTCTACAGGAGGGATGTTCAACTATGAAAATAGTCGGGGGACGATTTTTCCAGCATGTTTTTTGTAAAACCAAGTTTTGGGCATTTTTTGAGTATGTTTCAATTTTTCGCCCAAGTATCCTGTAGGGGGACATGCCCGACCTTAATCTAGGAGCATCTTGCGAAACAATTGCGCGCACGAGGTCGAAACATGCCTGGGGAAGGGACGTCCGAGCGATGGCAAGTCCTCGTCTTGGCCCTTCTGGGCCTCCTCAGAGGCCCTCGTCGCCGCGGGCGGATTTGCTTCGGAATGCTGGTCTGAAGGCGCCCCAGGAGAGAGGTCCTGGGATTACGTCGCGGCATCGGCATATCTTGGTTACCCCCCTCGCCCCGGGCCCCAGGCGCGTCTCAGGTGCCTCTTCTCTCTTCCCCCTCGACTCGTGGACGGGCTTGTCCTCTTCCGACTCCCTTGACGGGCGTGGCTCGCAAGCTCGCGAGCCTTGGCGCATTCGTGGCGGCGCGGGGCGCGTCCGCGCCCGCTGGCCAAGGAGTGCGCGAGGCTGAACGCCCAAGTCTCCTGTGCGTCGTGGAACGTTGGGCCCCCTCGGAGACCTCCTGTGGGCCCCAGGGGGCAACACGCGACCCTCGACGAGAGACCGCTCACGGGCATGGGGTCGAGAGCCCCCGGGCCACGCCGTGGCCGAGGTCGCGGTTTCGGAGGCCCGGGTGGGGAGAGCACGAGCTGGGGCAGCGACAGGCGCCGCAATGGCTGGGCCCGGGCGAGCGAGCGACTGGCTTGCCGGCGTGTGCCGCACGGGATGGCCTCAGCTCGGTGGTTCAAAGATGGGGTCCTGAGGGGCCTGGTCCAAAGGATAGGAAGGCATCCAAGGGTGGATCTAGGTTGTTTGACGCACCTCGTCCTTAGGACCCCACCTCTCAGGACCCCATCTTTACACCACCGATTCGCGTTCGATGCCCCGGGGCACGCGGTGCATTGCAGTGCGTACCTGATCTGATGGGCGACAGCGTTGGTTGACGCATGCGAGGAAACGAGGAGGAGGAGGAGGAGGAGGAGGAGGAGGAGGAGGAGGAGGACTGCTCCTCCTCCTCCTCCTCCTCCTCCCTGATGAGGCAGGCGAGCGGCCCTGGAGACCCACTGGAGTTCGCGTGTGGGGGGGTGGGGAGCGCGTGCCTGCCCGCGGCATGGCGGTCTGCGCCCCTCGGCCGGCCTCGACCCAGGTGGGCACTCGACGGCCTCGCGCGGACGCCCCGCGCGGAGCGCACCGCGAGACCGCGTGTCCATGCGATCGCGCCCCGGAGCCCAGACATCGCGCGCCTCGAAAAATCGAGACGGAGGTTTTTTGTGGTTTTCGGCCTCTCGAGGCCCTCGCCGGGCCCCGGGACCGTCGAAAAACGACTCGGGACGCGAAAAACCAGCCCCGGGGAAGTGGTCGGGAGGTCGGGGGCCCATGTCGTCTCGAAAAATTCGAAACGTCGGATGTCTGGAATTCCAGAGCGCTAGGGCATGGTTTTGGATACGGCCGTCGCTCGTGAGGAGCGCACGTATCACGAATTGCAGGGCAGGGGTATACGCATGCCCCGCTGCGGCGCAACAGGGCCACGCTTTGGCGGACCGCCTTGGCCTGGATCAGAAGAAGCTGGCGGACATCCTCAACACAAGCTCGGGGAGGCGCTCGCACTGCTGCAGGGCCGAGGGACAGCAGTGACCCAGGAGGGCTGGGACGAAGAGAGCAATGACAGGCTGGAGGATGTGGGAGAGCGAGAGGGAGGTTGGAGGAGGGATTGTAAGGACGGTGATGATGGATGGCCCCAGGAGGCCTCCGAGGGCGTCAAAATCGTGAAACGGCTGGTGGTTGGCAGCGGGATGGCCCCGAAATGGTAAGGCACCCAGAGGCCTCCGAGCAGGCCCCCAAGATGCCCACAGAGGCTACCGGATGCCCCGAGAGGCCCCCAAGAAGCCCGCAATAGGTCCCCCAAACACCAGAAGAAGTGCTGCTGCTGGTGATGATGACGATGATGACGATGATGATGATGCTGCTGCTGATGATGACGATGATGCTGATGCCGCTGCTGCTGCTGATGATGCTGCTGCTGCTGCTGCTGATGATGATGATGCTGATGATGATGATGATGATGATGATGATGATGATGATGATGATGATGATGATGATACTGCTGCTGATGAGGATGCTGCTGCTGATGATTCTGGTGCTGCTGCTGATGATGCTGCTAGTGATGATGATGCTGATGATGATATTGCGGTTGTTGTTGATGAGTATGGTGATGATGATGATGATGATGATGATGATGATGATGATGATGATGATGATGATGATGATGATGATGATGATGATGATGATGATGATGCTGATGCTGCTGCTGCTGCTGCCGCTGCTGGTGGTGGTGGTGGTGGTGGTGAGGAGGAGGAGGAGGATGAGGAGGAGGAGGAGGAGGAGGTGGACGAGGAGGATGATAAAAGGGAGAGCTGAGAGGAGGAGGAGGAGGAGGAGGAGGAGGATGATGATGAGGAGGAGGAGGAGGAGGAGGAGGAGTAGGAGGAGGAGGAAGAAGGGGAGGAAGAGGAGGATGAGGAGGAAGAGGACGAGGAAAACGGGGATCAATGAGGAGGATGAAGAGGGGAAAAGGAGGAGGAGGAGGACGAGGAGGAGCAGATGGATGAGGATGTGTCTGAACAGCACGGCAGCACTTCTGATCGATCACTGCCGCAGTGTTCGAGCGATGCCAGCCCGCAGTGACGTCGCCACGTTTGCCAAGCCGCGTTTGTGAGGACGCTGGACCAACGCAACGTGGCCTGGCTCGGCGAGGAAGCTGGGCACACGTGTTGAGACGTGCCTTTCCAGCGCTGGGCCATGTGGTAGTCGGTTCTCCTGCCGCTCCAACTTCTCACTCCAAGCGTTCAGGCGGGCATGCCCCTCTGTATGAGGAACATCCAATGCTAGTAAAACATCGTCAGTGACGATTTGTCGTGCTCCTGTGACAGTTTTGGCTATTGTTTGGCTGTGTCTTATTGCGAAGGCCTTACGGCCGCTGCCGCCGACCCTGAATGGCGACGACGGCGACGACGACGACGACGACGACGACGACGAGGGAACCTGTTAGGGATAATTTGGGTGCCTCTTGGGAGGCTCTCGGGGGCCGCTTGGGAGCCTGGTGGGGGCCTCTCAGGGCTTCCTGGGGGTCTCTTGGGGGCCGCTTGGGGTCTCTTGGGGTTCTTCTTAGGGGCCTCTGGGGGCCTCCCCGTCTGGGCTCCCTCTTGGGGCCGTCTTGGGGGCCTCTTCGGCTGTCTTGGAGGCCTCTTGGGTGGTCTTGGGGCCCTCTTGGGTCGTTTTGGGCCCTCTCGGAGGCCTCTTGGGCCATCTAGGGGCGGTCTTGGGGGCCTTTTGGCCTGTCCTGGAGCGTCGGGAAGCTGACAAGGCGAGAATGCCAAAATCTTTTGAATATCTAAGGGGGATCGATGATTTTTGCCCCTCGGGGCCCTCTAGTAAGTCCTCTTGGAGGCCTCTTGGGGCGTTTTGGAAACCTTTTGGGCCGTCTGGAGGCTACTTTGGCGACTTGGACCGATACTTCGGCGATTCGGGGCCCTCGAGGACCGTCTTGAGGGCATCTTGAGGCACTTTTGCCGCGTCTTGGAGCTTTTCTGGGCCCCCGAACCGCCTGGGGGGGGGTCGGATCTGGGCGGCGAGCCCCCCCCGGGGGGGGCAGTCGTATCTGGGTGGCGACCCCCCCCCAGAACTCCCCCCCAGCGGGGAAGGGATCAAAGGGAAGGGGCTTCCCTTCGACTCAACTACAACGTTGCTTAATTTCGCTGTGGCTGGCGCGCTCGAGGAGGAGGGCCCGGTGAAAGTGGAGGGAGAGGCGACGGGCCTAGGGAAAGGGGAGGGGAGCGACGAAGGCGACGACGACGACGACGACAACATTACCACGACGACGAGTCAAACGGAACAGCCTCTTCCACATGCCGACAGGGTCGGCGGATTTGTCTTCCCAAATCCGCCTGCAGGAGGACATGCCCGACCTAATCCAAGCGCGCCCCCTGAGGCGCAGCAGGCGAGCGGTGCATCACCGCAGCTGGAGCGCTCCCCTGGCGGCGCGCGGAAGGGCGAGGCGTGTCTTCTGAGAGGGCAGGGGGCTTCTTAGAAGTCCTCTTGCTGCAGAGCTTTCACGTGCTGGGCTGCGCCGGGAGGCCCGCCTCACGGGCGAGAGGGTGGAGCACGAACAGGGGATGTCGGCTTGCAGGCTGTCTGCCACGCAAGCGCAGTTTTGGAGCGGCGTCGTTCGGCGAATGTGTGAGCAGGGAGAGAGCACCTGCTGGGAGCGCGCAGCCGTATCAGCTTCAGTGCATTCGGAGCAGCACTTCGAGCATCGTTCGCCTAACCACGGTGTGCCGGTCGCAGCCTCGCTCGCAGGGGAGCCCGAGCCTGATGGCGGGTCACAGCTCTGATGGCAAGAGCTCCTCGGTGAAGAGGCTTGCTGCTCTGGCCATGGCTGCAGGATGCCTCGTCCCCTGTGGGCTGCCCTCGGGGAGGGGCCGCCCACACAAGACTGAGCCTTCGCAAGGGTCTGTGGCGTCGTTCTGTGGCTGCTCTCGTTCCCTCCCTCTCTCTCTGTCTGTGCCCTTCTGGACTTCTCTCTACTTCTGGCTGGCAGCACTCGTGGATAGCCGCAAACGGTTTCCAACGACGCTCGCTCCCAGCCACACTTCGCGTTCACATGCTGGCCCTCGCGGCTCCGCAGTCTCGTGTAAGCACTTCGCTATAGTGACCTCTGCGCGCCTCCACGCCGCGTCATTGTCATTTTTATTCGTCTGTTGTTCTTGCTGGAGTCTCTGTTTCTTATGGCCATTCCATCATTATGCAGTGCTGCTGACGGTCGAAATTCACACTGATATGATTATGGCAACTGTTCCCTACTGCCAGGAAGCTGGGCACGCGTGGGGCGCCCGGCTTGGGCGAGCGCTGGAGGCACACGTGGCCACACGGCCCTCCGGCACTCGGACCCCTGTGGCCAGGCCTCTGCACGGTGCAGCCTGTGTGCACCGTGCGGACGACGACGACGACGACGACGACGACGACGACGACGACGACGACGACGACGACGACGACGACGACGACGACGACGACGACGACGACGACGACGACGACGACGTAGGCGGCGCGCCTCAGGGGGTGCGCGCCGCGGCCCCAGTTGCTGTTGCCCCCCCCCCCCCCCCCCCCCCCCCGGACAACATGCGTTATCCCCCAGAAAGAAACAGATGGTCTCCCGGCGCGTGGACTCCGAGTTCACCCATGCGTGAGCCCAACCGTGTGTGCCTCCACCTTCCTGGGCCTGCACGCCGGCGGGGCCTGACAAACATGACGACCAGGGCCACCAGCGACCAGCTGAGCATCCTCACCACGGCTGCTGCTCGGGCGCCGTGGTCCTTCACCGCGACCTCGAGGTTCAGCTAGGCATTTGATACATATATATATATATATATATACATTTGAGGAATGGACGCTCGTGCTCGAGGACACTCATCCCGCCAGAGCCCCCCCCTGGCCTCCCCGCCCTCGCCCAGGGGCGGGGGCCATCATGCTGTGGAGGGACGTCGTGGCCGGGGCTTGTGGAGATCACGCTCGAGCTGTGATTGCGCAGATTGCGTCCGAAGACTTCCGGCTTCGAGCCTTCGGCGGCCACGGAACGCGCAGCAGTCATAGGCTCCGACGTTTCGTGCCCCCCCCACCTTCGTCCGCGCGCGTGCCTCGGCCTTCCGGGCGCCCCTCTTCGGCTCACCCGCCCTCGCACCTCCTCTCTCTCTCTCTCTCTCTCTCTCCCCCTCCTTTCCTCCCTCCCTTCCTCTCCCTCTCTCGCTCTCTCTCTCTCTCTCGCCCCCTCTCGCTCTCTCTCTCTCTCTCGCCCCCTCTCCCCCTCCCTCTCCCCCATCTCCGGCCCCCCCCCCCCCTGTGGCCTCGAGGTGCTGGAGCAGCGACACCTACAACCCCTGTCCCGGGGTCATGGAGGCCTGGAGCTGCCCTCTCCTCGCCCCCCCCGCAGGGCGCCCGCGCTGGCGCTGCCTGCGCTGCCTCTGGCTCTGGCTCTGGCTCTGGCTCTGGCTCTTGCCCTGCTCTGCTCCTGCTCTGCTCCTGCTCTGCTCCTGCTCCTGCTCTGCTCTGCTCTGCTCTGCTCTGCTCTGCTCTGCTCTGCTCTGCTCTGCTCTGCTCTGCTCTGCTCTGCTCTGCTCTCTCTCTCTCTCTCTCGCTCAGGGTCCGTCGTCTCTCTGCCTCCTCGTTCAAGGGTGGAAAAACCACCCGGACCGGACACATGGCGTTTACTAAACGGCCCTGGGCGTTGACTAAACAGCCCTCCCCTGTTCGGTTTCTTCTTTGGGCGCGTTTACTGAACGACTTCGCGTGTCGGGGTGGTTATCATGGGGTGGGATTCTTTGACCTCTACTCGTGGCTCCCCCTGCAGTCAGCGGACTAGTTGGCTAGTGGGAATTTGGACGAGCGTGCTCGTCTACGTTAGTTGCGATCGTGGTTGAGGCACGGCTCGCTCCAGGTGCCCTCTCGTGCGGCAGCCGTCAGCTGCGCGAGGGCCGCGAGCGCTCACGAACGGAGGCGGCTGGAACGATGCCTCCAGTAGAAATTATATGGGCTGGAGTGCACTCGTCTTGTCTGCATGAGCGGCTGGAACACTGGCCTGGCATCGCTCGGACGTGTGCATTTTTTTCTCGGCGAGGACCCTGGAGGAGCATCCTGGACCATCGAGCAAAAGAACACGCACGGAACCGAAAAATGCACAGGGAATGGACGTCCGAGCGATGGCAAGCTGGTCCCTCGCAGAAATTCGGGGCTGGGACCCACGCCGTGGCGGCTGGAACGCGTCACTTCGTGAAGGCTGAGGGCTAGAGCGCACCTGTCTCGTCGGCATGACCGGCTTGACCGGTCTCCCTCGTAAGACATGCGGGCTGGAGCCACACCCTC